GATGATGTATTATTATTTGCAGTAGGGGAGAAGTGGATCAGGAGGCATCCACTTATTCTCAGTAAACTATTAACTATGGTTTACTATGACATGTAGGTGCTGCCACTACAGCCAACAAAAAAGATGAGAGGGAGAATTACAAATAAGATGAGAAAGAGATGCATAGATATATGGCCACTGTTGGACCAGCAGATTTGGAAAAGGTTGTTTTTGTGTCCTGTGAAGTGAAAATGGCAAAGCCAAGCACCCTCTCTATGGTTAAATTAGGACATTGTGCTCTACCATTGTTGTGCGAGATACGTCTGAATTGAATTTTAGTTTTCAGAGACATTTAAGCAGCAGCATTTTGAAGGCTCAGTCATCAGTAATCAAATCCAGCTAGCCTCACATAGAAAGGAAGGTCAAAGAAAAAGATGTGTTTTCTAGTGTAGACAGTGTTGATGAAAGACTCAGTGGGATAATTAATCACACTGAGCATATCTGAAGAGCAGAGCGGAGCATAGAAGTGACATGTTTCCTGTCTAGTTACAGCACAATCTAGGTAGCATAGGACAAAGATGAAGGGAGAGGACAAAGGGACAGAGGAATATCAGAAATTTGCATGTACTTGTAAAGCAGCTTTAAGCAATAGCCAGAAGTATTAAATGTTTGACTTGTGGTTTACAGTGGTCCAAGTATGATAACTTTGTGGAAATGGGCCGAAGTAGGCGTGAGTGTTGCTGATGTCCTGTATGGCCAAGGTTGCTGTCACAAGAAACATAGGCGGTTGATGGAAGAATTGTGCATACAAAAATGAAAGACAAAAAGAATTGTGGGAAATGAAGGAAAGATATCGCTAGTGCAAGCATTAAGACTAAGTGGAAAGTGACCAAGAGTCAATTCAGATGTAACCAGGGGCAAAGTCTCTAAAGCAGAAAAGGGTAAAACACAGCTCTGTGGGGTAGGGTGTCTGCTGGTATATAATAGATATTATAATCCAATCAAACTAAAAATATGGAGAGACTGAGGTGCACTGATGTTGGGGTTAATGGCATCTTTGCCATAATATCAATTTGCAGCGTTGTTGTTGTTTTTATACATTTCTTTCCACATGGCAGCAAATCACAGTATAATAAAAATGCATATAAAATACTTGCAAATATGAAAAAGAGTTTAAACGCTAGCATTTAAAAGCATTTAGAAAAAAAGCACCCTAATTATATATATAAAAACAGTTTAAAACAACAGCACAAATATAACATGAGTAAAAATCTAATTCAGGTACCAAATGTTGGGACAGATATTGACTCCTGAAATAGCAGAAGATGGAAATGCTTTTGCTAACATACGTATTGGTGTAGTAACAAACCATACTATACCAGCTGTGCCAAAGGCAGCTATAAGAGTAACAATGAGTGGCAAGGGATAGGTGGTGCATTTATTTCCTTTAACAATTAAAGAAGCATGCATAGCTTTGCCTTACACTCTTCGGCCATTGTAGTTTTGCCTTTTTCAGCAGGTTGCATATCACAGGCCAAACTCTGATCTTCAACATTTTTGTTATGAATTAGCACGCTGCAAAATTTACATAAAACAGGGATGGAGAACAGGGTCCAGCCTGTAGGTGGGGTCCTCAGTTCCTCCCACCCCCATGGGCATAGCTGTCAACTTTCAGATTTGAAAATAAGGGATCAGCAGCCTCACCTGTCCCGGGGACAGTCTACGGGATATCTAACAATCTGAAATAGCAGCGGGAAGCAGCGCTGGAATAAGGGAATTTCCAGCAAAAAAGGGAAGGTTGACAGCTATGCCCATGGGCCACTTTTATGCCGCCCACCTGTCAGTCGCCTGGCATCACCCATGACACCAGCTGACCCACCTTCAAAGGAAAGAACAGGAAGCTCACAGCCAATTCTTTCTTTTCTTGTTTTGCAGCCTGGCTTGAACTCAAGCCAAGCTGCAAAAGAAGATTCCTGCCAAAAAGGGGCCTGCTGGTCAGCATAAAACTTTAGAAGACATTTGTGCTGATTACATGACTAAAGCCTTGATTCTATAAAGTATTGCTCTCTAGTTTTGTGAAAATATTTCTAGGGGGGCTTTTCAAATATATTTCCGAGTTACAACCTTTATGCTACTGGTTCCTCAGGGACTTTTCTTGAGTATGTGGTTATAAAAATTGTCATCTTGTTAAATAACCTTGCAAGTGATTTCTGTTCCAAAAATGTACAACGTATTTAGTTATTTGGAATACTGAAGTAGACAAATATTCTATATTTGTACTGGTGAAGAGATCTGCATGAAGGATGCCTTTATTTATGCTGCTGTTGACTGTTACTTAAATGGGTTTTTTTTCAGTCCCTAGACTGTGTTTCTCCAAGGTTACCAAGGAAACAATGATGCCATTCAGCAATAAATACTAATTGTACTGGATGTGTACTGTGTTAATAGAACCAGGGCCCACATCAAAACATGGTATATCAGAACAGGGAGGGTTCACTGGTGCTACAGTCAGGCTCAGCACCATGGGACAGCCTGCTGTTCTTACACAGCCACTGAGCTCTGTCGCCAGCAGCCTGCTTACCTGTCCAGAGTGACAGCTGGCAGGGATGTGTGTGTGTGTGAGGGAGAGAACAGGTGCTGACTGGGCCTGCAGATGGCAGGTGCAAAGCCAGCAGCTTCATCATCTTTAATTATGCTGGCCCCACCTCTGCCATAAGAACAGATGACGGGCCCAGTCCAGCATCCTCTTCTCACAATAGTGAACCGGATGCCCATGGGAAACCCCTGAGCAGAATTTGGGTGCAACAGCATGCTCCACCCTTGTGCTCCCCAGCAACTTTTATTCAGAGACATACCACCTCTGATACTTTAGGTAGTACACAGCCATCACGATTCGTAGCCATTGGTAGCTTTATCCTCAATGAATTTTTCTAAACTCCCTTTAAAGTCAATTTGGTGGCCATGCTACATCCTTCAACATTGAATCCCACAGTTTAACTATTTGCTTCTTGAAGAAGTATTTCATTATATCTGCCCTGAACCTCCCAATATTCATTTTCATCCTGGTGTTCTCTCTATCCACTTTCTCCTGCACCTCTATCTTGTCCTGCCCCTCCCCCATCCCTCTTTTTTCTTGATCTAAAAAGTTCCCAGTGTTTTAACCTTTCCTCATAGGGGAGTTGCTCCAGCCCCTTTTATCATTTTGGAGGAATTCAACATCAAGCTGCCACAAACATTTCATCATTGTGAACATTTCTGCTTGTCTGACAGAACGATATCCCCTCTTCTCCACACACAGTTCTAGGGTTTCTTCTACCACCCTGAGCCAATTTGAGGGGAGCATGAGGGGAGGAGAGGGGAAAGCTCCACTGCACTAGCTGAAGTCCTTGTGCAGGCTTCTGCTACTGGAACCAGCTAGCTGAATCTGGCCCACAATGTCTATTGGATTTCCCCTCCCCCTTTTAAGCGCTAGTCCCTTTTCAAAAATATTAGTTCTTAGCCAAGCAACATGACTAACCATTACTGTTTAGAAATACTTGTGCCCATGTTTGTCTTACGTCTTTTACATTATCATTTATCCATTCTGCTTAATTGCTCACTTTCTATTTTGTGTATGTACAAGTCACAACGCCAAGTTCTTGAGGTTCCCTTAGGTTGTGTTTTTTTTTTGAAGTGTGAAGTAATACTGGGTCCATGGCAGATATCAGGTGGGGGACAGACCTCTGTGTATGTGGGGTTTCTTCCTTCCAGTTGGACCTTAGTACTTTACTAGGAGGGAGGGAAATGTGCTTCCATGCAACTTGTATTTATCATCTGCATATTTTCCAAACATAGAATAAAATGATTCTTTGCCAATCTTTGATGCTCAAACTTTGAACATTCAAGCACTGGTGAGATTTCACATGCAGCCGGGGGGGGGGGGTAAAGCTTGAACCAAAATAGCTTCACAACCAGCTTGTATGGGTTCATTGTCACATCAAATGGCACTGACAAGAAAGGGCAAATCTCCAGCAGTAAACAGTTCATTCCATTTCCTTTTTAACCATTTGCTTCAAAGGTAACCAAGAATGCAAGGTAACTGTTTGTACATTGATAGACTAGACTTGTAAATCAGTTTTTCAACCACAAGTCCCCAGATTGTTGTTGGTCTCCAAGTCTGTCACCTCCAGAAAGCCTAGCCTACTGGTCAAAACTAAGTTCTCTGAGGAATCAAGGCAGAAGGATATAAATCACCTTATAAAGAAAGTGGGTGGGTACATGTGCATGTACACATACAGGTGCGCACACTATCATTGTAAAAAAACCCAGAAGCAATTCAATTTCTGTTCAGATAGGATTCTTCGATGCATATGTATAATAGCCGTTACCCAGCACTGAATCAGTGACCTAAAAATAAAGTTACAGGCCTTAAGAACCCAGACTATAAAAGCAATGGCTCATCACTGAAGTCAAATTTTCTCAGATAAGACTTACCTGGATATTACTATTTAGAGCTTCAGCAGTCTAAGGCAAAACCTTTTTCTCCACACATCATTCAGTCTTACTGCCTTCAAAATTTGTCTCAGTTCTTTATTTTCAGAATAACTCAGAATTAGCCATGTTTTTTTCTTCATAGTAAATGACTGTATTTTTCACCCTCATTAAACAAGTAGGTTTTATAATTGTGCAGAAAAAAATAGTCTGGTAAGGCTGCTCCTTTAAAAGATAAATAAAACATAAGGTTTATTCATGGCAGACAAAGCCATTCTAAGTCTAGATTTTATATGTGGCCCAGATGGAGCCAGCACTTAACACTAGTGCAATAATATCAAAACCTGACTTCTCAATAATACTTTAATAGGGACAGTCATCTTTATTGGGGGGGGGAATACTATGTTTTCAGTCTGTAATGTCTTAATTTCTATAATCACCAAGCTGTTGGTAACCGTCAATGTTCTTAAATATTTAAATGGTTGGTGTGGGGGACATATTTTCCTTTATGTGCACAGTGGTTAAAGGTTTTACCTCCTTTCCCTGAACAGTTTGAAAACGAAATCATTTTAAAATTGGACCATGAAGTGGAAGGAGGCCGTGGAGATGAGCAATATCTGCATTTGTTTGAATCAATGTAAGTACAAAGAAAGGGCAAATCCTTAGTTTTTGGGTAGGATTCAGCCAATGAGCCCCATCAGTGGAAGCCCTGCACAAGGACTTCCATTTGTACAAATGGGCTTTCCACTCTTCTTTCCACACACATCCCAAAATTGGTTCAGGGGGAATGTTGTGCGAGAGAACCTCCAGAACAGCACACAGTGGGAGGAGAATGGAGATTGTTCCTTCCAGTAAGTTGAAATGCTTGCCCTGACAGAACAATCACTTTAGCACGATGTTGAATGACTCCCACAATTTTTAAGGTTGTTATATTTTAAAGTTGAACATTTGTTTCAAGTATGATCCATATTTTACCTTATTTATTGTACTTCTCCCCTGTTCTTACACGGGGCTTCCAGTGGTCTCCTAGAATATGGCCACCAGATCCACCTCTGCTTAGCTTCAGTTATGCAGTCACACAGGGTATTCCTTGAAAAATCTCTTTAAATGGACCTTTTTTAAGGTGGTGTGTGTGTGTGTGTGTGTGTGTGTGTGTGTGTGTCTTAAATAAACATAGGTCTGTAACTCAATTGTGCCCCCAGGGCACCTGTGCTCTGTCATGCAAATATATATACAGGCAGGGAGTGAAAAATGCTTCAGGCATAAAACATTCCCATTCAAATTTAGTGTGCCTCAAAACACAAACTTCTCCAGAGATGGTAGACCTGACTCAGAAGCAAAACAGAAAGTACATCATAAAATTGGAACATGTTAGGATATGGTATCGGAGCTAAGCTGCTGGGTTTGTTGTTGTTAGAGCTATGGTAGTATGTTCAATCTAGCATCAACCACCATAGAGGTTAGCACAGTCTACGCTTGCCTTGCAGATGGCTGACTTGTAGCAGCATGTATGTTGGGGTGGAGCAGCCTTCCTGACTCCAGTGTCATTGCTGCTTACCTGGACAATACTGGGGCAGTGCAACAGCAAGGTCAGGGCATGTGGGTGCACCTGTGGGAGTACCTGATTGGTCTCACTGGGACACCTACATGGCCCTGACCTTACCACCACAGGCAAGCAGCAGTAATGGATCCATGGCTTTACCCCACATACTTCTGTGGCTGACATACAGGCATGCAAATCAGCTGTAAGGAAGTGTCCATAATATATAAACAATTTGTGATACATAGGGGGAACATTGGCTAACATTTTTACACTTTTTGAGGCATTACAGAATTTAAATTGGCTTGGTCATTGGACAGTATCCTGTTTAATAAATGCAATCCTTCCCTCCTTTTCTGAACATGTGTGGATGGGTTCTGTTTCAAGAATGGAACTGAACAAGCATAAGAGCAAAAGTATAGTAGTGGCTTTGTTACCTCAACTTGTCACCCACCATAATTCTGGCCATACTAGGAAATGGATAATTACTTCTCTTTTTCCCAAGGTAAAGATATATTCTTATTATCTCAGGGAGCTGTTGATCTCAAAGGCACAGTTTCAGCACAGAAGCAACATATGATGAACTGCATCATCTCTTGACTTTGCCTTCTTTGTTGCTGTGGCCTACAACTTTCTGCTTTACAAAATAATACTTAATTTTCATGCTTAACTCTGAACATGCTCTTCGACAGTTGAACTGTGAATCAACTTATCAAAGAGCAGCCTAAGAATCAGAAAAGAATTAATACATATGCAACTAGAGGTCTGTGCATAGAGGTCACAGAAGAAGTGTGGACAATCATATTGAAATGTGCAAATCTCTTCTTTCCTGAAGTGCAGAACCATTCCCCTGCACTTACATCTAATTATTACAAACTACATACAAACTTTCAGGTAAATTAAGTCTTTTAAGGCAAAAATAAGTTTAAGCAGAATACCTCAAGAATCAGAAGACAAACATCCCTGACAGTGGTCCTTTTTGGAGGCAGAAATTTAGGAAAGAGGTTAAATACGTCTGTGGAAATATATCAGCTTGGAAAGTATAAAATGATGATGATCTGCACTTTCAAAATTATAGAGATTCCTGGAGAATGCCACAGAAACATTGCAGTATTTCACCCTGACACTTCTCAGTGCTGCTCAATTGAATTGTTACATGAGATGACAGAATCTAATGAAATTCACCTTGTTATAGATTCCCATCTATATTATTTCTGCCAGATTGGGAATAGCCAGAGTGAATAATTGGGGACATGACCCCTATTTTGTTCTGGAGTATCCCAGAAACATTGTGCCACCTGAAGCCAAGGCTTCACATGCTGCGGATAATAAGTTGTTTGTTTGTTTGTAAAAGCAATGATTTGGAACATCTATTTATTTAATTTGCTTTGGCTCATATTCTGCTGCCTGGTGCTTGTATTTTGCCCTTTTCCAGAAGGCAGGACAGGTAACATAGAATAGAGCTACTCTGTCCTAAAGTAATGCTTTCAGATGGTCTGATGTATACAGAACACATTCCTCCTCATAACTCTCAGAGTTAAAATGAGAATTGCATTTCTCAAAATACTTCCATGTCAAAAACTCCCTCCTGTAAAACCTGTTTAAGACCAATATGGGAAGAATATGCCATACCATGAATTCTGTCCTGGAGGTCAGAAGTTATTCAACTGAGATACCAGTGAAGATGGAAACAACAGAAATTAAGTCAAATGCTGTTTTAAATATAATAGATTGCACTACACAGTAATACTGCAATCAAATAACCTTAGGAAAAAAGAATGTGGCACTGGGTCACTTCAGAACACAGGCTGAGGATAGTACGAGGAATGTTCCTCCATGTCAAATATGCCCTTTGTATAGGAATGCAAAGCACTGCATGTAGTGTTTTAGTGAAAAGATGCTGCTATAGTCCACTGCTCCTGGTGTGCTAGATTGCAGAGAGCAAGGAAAAATATGTTTACACCTCTATGGAACTTTTCGCAAGGAGAAGAAAACTCAATATGCTTAGGAGGGAGAAATCAATTTAAATTGAGCCAAAAGGGTAATTAGGATTTGACCACGGTTGTTTTTCACTGTCACCATGGAGCGAGTTTGAATCTGCAACTGTGTCATTAGAGTGGTCTTGGAATTCTAAAGCCTCTGACAGCATGGCCACTGGTGAGGGATGTTGGGAACTATAGTCCAACAACATTTGAAAGACCACAGGTTTGTGGTCCACCTTGATGGAAGAGCAAGGTGCAAATGAACTACGAAAGGAAGCATAAATAAATTCCCAGTGTACAGAGTAACTCCTCACATTCCTTATGAAAAGCCCACATATTAGGATGAAAGAAGAAGAAGAAGAGGAAGAGTTTGGATTTGATATCCCGCCTTTCACTCCCTTTAAGGAGTCTCAAAGCGGCTAACATTCTCCTTTCCCTTCCTCCCCCACAACAAACACTCTGTGAGGTGAGTGGGGCTGAGAGACTTCAAAGAAGTGTGACTGGCCCAAGGTCACCCAGCAGCTGCATGTGGAGGAGCGGAGACACGAACCCGGTTCCCCAGATTACGAGACTACCGCTCTTAACCACTACACCACACTGGCTCTCTAAAGTTAGATTATTCTTTGGAGGTAACATTAAACACCTATTAAAACATAATGCCGTGATATCTAATGAAAATGCAAGATTGCAGTTTCTAAAGAATGCCAATGAATTACAAAATATATTTGCATATGTAAAATATACTAGTGCATTACAACACAGCTTTGCATTTAAATGAATTTGCTAATGAAGCCCAGGGAAATCAAGAACAGTACATACTGCAGCAAAGCAACAATTCAAGACATGCAGGATAATTGCGTTTTAAGACGGTGAAGAATGAAACTGAGCATTTGCTAACTTCTTGTCATTATTTTCCAGAGCAGTGTCCCTCATAATTTCCATAATTTATCAGATTTAAAATCCTTAATGGACTCGGTTAGTTGCTGCTGAAGTCACTTAAAAGCTAGATCAAAATGTAGGAAGACAGGATGCTTTAACAGGATGTGACTATAATGGTGCAAAAAGAAACATCACCAGCCTCTCACTTTGTCAGAGCCCATGAATCCCCTGCCTCACATTAAAGCAAAGCCAGAAGACATGAAGGAAATACATTCAGGCAGCACTGTAGTGTCACACATTCAATGACTCAAGACTGAAAATTACCCTGCTGTACAGAAGCAGCTATCCTATCTTTCCAGTGCATTTTTTCACTAAAATGGCAGTGAAAAGGCAGGATAGGACTGGCAGGATGGGCAAAACACCCCCATGAGATTTCCTCCAAATGATCATATTAAATTCATTTGCAACTGCCGCAGACCTTCTGCACACCTGATCAAGGACAGCAAGTACTTTTGTGAACTGGAAGTACTTATGCACAGAGGATTACAACAATTTGTATGACCATGGCATAAATGACTGCTGTCGCCATGGGTTCACTGTAGTGTATGCATGTACTTCTAGTTCACACAGTATTTCGAGCACATAATCACAGACGTGCACAAGTTGGGTAACATGGCAGTATTTGACCAGCTCTGCCATGCCTGAGAAACAGTCTGTCACTATCTTGCTGGAGGGATTTAAGTGCATACTGGAATGTTGGGTTTTGTGCAGTCGAAGTGGCTCTGTTATGCTAGTGCAACAAATCTAATAATAATACATAATAATAAATAATAATAATAATAATAATAAAAATCTTATTTGTATCCCGCCCTCCCCAGCCAAAGCTGGGCTCAGGGCGGCTAACATCATATAAATAAGACAATATGCATAATACAAGCGATCAATTAAGATACATCCCACAATGAATTCAAACAATTAAAATTAAAATTGGACAAGTGGCAATCTTCAGGTTAAAATTGGAAGCGGTTAATACTCGCCAAGACCAACTGTTTCCACTGATATTATAAGGACCTATGAGCGGTTCTTAAAAAAAGAAATGGCCTTTTTGCAGTTTGGAAAGTGACAGGGAAATGCATAGAGAAAGTGTGGAATGAACAAATCACTAATGGGAAGATGCATAAACACCTGCAAGCAAATCAAGATGGTTGCAGGGCATTCAAACAAATCAGAATGAATGATCAATAAAGACCATATGTAATCTAACCTCTGCTTAAGCTTTGTGCTAGTAAATCAGAATGAATTATCAATAAGATTTGCTTATTGCGGAGCAAGGGGGCATATAACCAAACGCCAGAAGTAGGGAAATAGCCATCAGGTTGGGCTATGGAGGTGGTGTGAGCACACATTTCCCAGATGGGTAAATCTAAACTGCTTGATTTCTTTTATTCCTGGGCTTTTAACTTAAACTAGCAGCCAGAAGCTTTACTTTGGAAAAACATAGCAGACCTGCAAAACCCATTCTGGGAGCAATATACACGTGTGTGTAGAATAGCGGGGTTCTGGGCAACAGTGCCTAGAGTATCATATTTATAGAGGTATAATCCCAGACTTGCAGTCAAATGATTTTATTCACTGCTCCCCTCTCTCCCCATCTCCCCTCCCTTCTTATTGCCAAGAGGAACATCCACCAGTGTGTCTTCTCCAACATGCTGGTTCTCATACTGTCTTCTTTATTTTCAGTCTCACCGAGTGTTCCTCAAGTTATGCCAAGATTGCCAAGGCAGTTGAAACGTTTGTAAGCCTAGTCAAAGGCCTTTTGGAAAAGCTGTTGGATTACCGTGCTGTGATGAATGATGAAAGCAAGAACAACCGCATGAGCTGCACTGTGAATTTGTTGGTATGTAGTGTATTGAAGGGTTGTTTGAAGACGTTCTTCAGATAGTAAATCAAGAAATCCATACACTAGCATGGTGGGGAAATGTTTTGAAGTTGTGAGCAATCTACAAAATCTGCAAATGCTTGATCTGTTTTGAAGGTGGCTCATAGTAATGACTGAAGGGAGTAAACATGGAAAGGAAATGGAAACTATACTGTATCCTCATATTATCATAGACCTGGAAGGGAAAAAATAAGTTATCAAGTCTAAATTTTATAATGTTAGATAGAAACTTCTATCCAAAAAGTATTAAGAGAACACTCCATGTATTCCCAAAAAATAAAATTGGGCTGCTAACTAAGGGAGCAGCAAGCCAATATGCTCAACAACAACAACAACATTTATATACCTTTGGGGTACTATATTAGATCAGTACCAGTAATTCTTACAATAGCCCAGTAAGGTAGGTCGATACAATTCCCTTTATCCTGTTGATGGGACACTGAGGCGTAGAGGGTAGATTCACACCTAGTGTACTCATGCCTGAGGTAAAACTTGAATGAACCAGGTACTTTCTGATTCACAGCTTATCTACACTACTACTGTCTCTTACTGCTGTATACATCATAGAAAACAACATATGGTTATAGAGAATAGAAATCATAGAATTGTAGAGTTGGAAGGGACCCTGAGGATAATCTAGTACAGCTCCCTGCAATGCAGGAATATGCAGCTGCCCCATACAGGGACCAAACTTGCAACCTTGGCATTATCAGTACCACAATCTAACTAACTGAGCAATCATAATGCTCAGCACTTTAACTAAGCCACATCTTACAGAGAAAGGCAACATTTGCTGTACCTGCAAGGGTACTGGCCATTCTGAGCTGCCTAACTTATCCACCCTGTTTTCTGTCTTCGAATGTATGTCACAGTTTGTGTATTTGATCAAAAATAGCCCCATTGGCTACCTATGAAAAACTGTCAGTGCCAGCAAGAACATATACAGTACATTAGAATTCATGTTACATTACTGGGCAAATAGAAGGCCTGATTCTTACTTTTCTCAAGCAAAAACTTTTCATCAACAATTGCTGTCATGATCTCAAAAGATTTTCACCCTAATGGTTTCAAAATATCATTTCAGCAGAATTGTTGTGGGGAAATATGTTATGACCCTAGATTGGGACAGTACATTACCGATTATTGTATGAATTCTGGTTTCAATTAGAGGCAGTGCATAAGTAATGCATATTCATGTTAGTGCTAATTAAAGCCTTGAAATTTTAGTGATGAAATATGACATAAAGGCAAAGTGATTCCCTGAATGAAACTAACCATGATTTCTGTGTGCAAAGGTGATCAGATTTCATTGATTTTCCTTCCCTAGAATTTCTACAAGGAGATTAACCGTGAAGAGATGTATATAAGGTATGGTGATCGTTTGGCTGGTTTTGTTGTTATTGGAGATACTGCTATTGCTTTTCCTCACATAATCTACAGGACGTTATATGGAATTGTGGTACATAACTGATAGCACTCCCTTCCCCTCAACTTTGCAATGTCTGAGGCTCATCCAGTCCTGTATAAATTTTGCTTGAGCCTTCTGCAACTAAGCCATGCCATACATATAACTTTAATTCCCCACCTCACCCTGGTATTTCATTTGAGTGAACCAATCAGGTGCCTGGCTTTCTCTCTCTAAAAGTTATGTAACGGGAGCTGAAATTTGAAGCAAAGTAGATGACACATTCCAAGTTGGCAGATGGAATCAATCCTGATTGCTTTGCATTAGACAAAAATCTGTAAATAAAGACCTGCTCTGTGGGGTGTGCTACTGCTGTAGTGTCTTGCACATGGAGCACTACATTTGGAATCAGATCGGAAGTTGAAGATATCTTTGCAGAAACAGCTTTTTTATACGATGTATATTGTGAGTATGTGTGTGATGATGATAAATAGGCACATTAGATTTGTAAAGCCATTAAATTGCATCTGTAAATCCATAGGCAACCGTCAGCATTTTAAACCCTGCTAGAAACATGCAAGTTGTTTCTCCCTTCCTCGCTCCCTATTTTCAACTCATAGGCAAACTTTTATAAAGCAGGCCAACAAGCATCTTTCAAACTAGTATATTAGGACAGGCAGTTTGTCAAGATGGATCGTACCTGCAATGTGAACTTGGAGATGTGCAGTGCATGCAGTTTACCTGTGCTTTCAGTTCTGATGTTCATTTTCTTTCTCTTGGAACAATAAAAATACAATGCAAGAACTGTTTCCTCCCTGCCCCACAAAAAATAACCCTTCTTTTGAATATGCACTCCTCTTAAAATTTTGAATTCCAACATGTTACATCAGTTTCTTCATGAAACTTGCCTATCTTCTTATCAGGGCATGTTGCTTCTTCCCTTATATGAATACAGTATAAGGATATGGATATTTTGTGTCTCTGTGAATTTGGATAATGTCAGCTGCAACTGACAGAAGATATATGTAGCTCCTTTCATGGACTACAAGAAAGCATCAGCACCAACTCTGGTTTTAAGCCTGTTTTCAGTATAGATAGAAGCAAAGTGGTGAAAGGAGAATAATTACGGATGTGAGGCTCCCTCATTTCTCTTTTTTGTAATGCAGCAAAAGTCAGTGGGAGTGGTCTTCAAAGCTCTCATTATGTTCTCATTTGTATGTTAACTTTCGTGCCTTCACATTGTCAAGCTTTGCTTCATAATGAAGGCAGTCAGAAATATAACATTTGATCCGGCCAGACATTAAGCATTTTTAAAGTTCTATTAGTCTGAACTCAGTTTTAATACATTAATTTATTATTATACATCCCAGATTTGAATGGTGGCAGTCCTGCTCATCTTGCCAACTCTTCATTAACTTTTCTTTTGTTCTGTCTCCCTCACTCGCTTCATCCACTAACAGGTACTTGTATAAACTTCGGGATCTTCATTTAGACTGCGAGAACTACACTGAGGCAGCCTATACTCTTCTGCTGCATGCTTCGCTTCTGAAAGTAAGTAATGTTATGAATTTCAGTTGGTCTACTGTGGCTGAAACTAACATTTGATACATTTCATGGGGCCTACAAACAGGGGACTATCAAGACAACTGTAAACCATTGGCCCTTTTCCATTAGCACCCATAACAAAGTTTGAAATGGGAGAGCACTGAAGCGCATTTAAATCCCACACTCTTTCATCTTCCCCCGGCCTTATACTGTATACAGCATGGGTAGGCAAACTAAGGCCCGGGGGCCAGATCCAACCCAATCGCCTTCTCAATCCGGACAGTCTGTGAATCAGCGTGTTTTTACATGAATAGAATGTGTCCTTTTATTTAAAATGCATCTCTGGGTTATTTGTGGGGCATAGGAATTTGTTCATTTTTTCCCTTCAAAATATAGTCCGGCCCCCCACAAGGTCTGAGGGACAGTGGACCAGCCCCCTGCTGGAAAAGTTTGCTGACCCCTGGTATACAGCATTAATGTCTCACATTGAACTTAACTGATTTGTAGAAAAGACTCTACGACCCAAAAGTAGAGACAATGCACATACTTTTGTAACCGAAGAAAATCTTTAATAAAAATTAGTTTTAAAAAAAGTTCTCCAAAGGAGATACAACACTTTTTCTACTGAGATATAAATGTACATGTGCAAATTTGCCCATCAGAATCAACATGCATATCACTGGTGTTGTTTTACATTGAAATGCACACAGTGAGTGATTGGACAAGGACTGGGCCCATGTTCAGTGCATGTATTTTGTACTCAACTACAGTACAAAAAACTGCTTTGTTTGTATCACTCCAGCTCCTAAATTATAGACAGATGGCAATTATGTATTTTCTTCTTCTTCTTTTCTCTTCTCCTACTCCTCTTCCTCCTCAGTGGTCTGATGAACAGTGCACTCCCCAAGTCATGCAAACAGAATTTCAGAGTTCACAAACTCATCGGCACCTGAAAGAACACTTGTATGAGATGATAATAGAATACTTTGACAAGGGAAAGGTACCATTATTATTATTATTATTATTATTATTATTATTATTATTATTATTTCCTGCTGAAGAGCTTTAGACAATGGCTTTTAAGTTTGTTCCACAATATAAAGCTCACCAGTTGTTTTTTAAATAGTCTGATGGGCTAATATACGTATCCACTTGTAAACATTCTTTCCATTTTGCATACATCATGAAATATATTGCTTTTAGTCTTACTGGTGGTACAAACATAGTGTTTGTGCATAGATTTATTTTTTACAAGTGTATAAAAGTTTCCATTAGCAAGGTGACCTTTCCATTAGCAAGGTGTTGCTATGATTGAGGCAACACATAGATTATGTATTGAGATCAAGCCAACACGTTAAGGTCTACGTGACACTGCTAAAGCCATCTAGGCTTTGATCTATCATATTTTGAGGTCAATAGTAAAGCAGTTTTTATCTGTAAAGAGCAGATGTTTGCATTGAAATCACTGGAGAACTTAAAGGCTTTCTTTCAGAAGGCGTATTTATCTCCTAGGAAGGCACTAGGCTGTAGTAAATTCTACCCTGTGCAACTGACATCTTCCATTTAGCCGTGGCAATAGTTCAAAAGGTCTTGGAATTTGGTGATAGCATTGTGAAGGTTTCTTCTCCAGAACATTTACTTTTTGTCATGGCAACATGAAATGTGGCACAGATGTGGAGAAGGCCAGTGCGTGTACATAAACAGTCACTATTATACAGTGGAGGAAAAGTTGAGATTTGTAGATGTTATCTGGCTATCTGGTGTCCTTGTCTTAAAAAGAAGATTTTATTTATTTATTTATTTATTTTTTTCATGCGTAATTTTTATTGGTTTACAAAAATCAAGGCACAGAACAAACTGTATCAAAACTCATATCTATATACTTAAAGAAAAAAAATTGACTTCCTTCAGTCATTCCACGAATCGTCCAAAATAACATTAAACAATAAATCCGCATTTCCATATTTGTAATGCCTTAAGTCATTCTCATTCATCCATTTTCTTTTGGCATTACCCTTTACCTCTTACAGAGCACCTTGGAAACCTACTAGTGTTATCTGTGCGTCGGTTAAGCTTTCCAGATATTTCGTTAGACTTTCCCAATTTTTAGCAAACCTCTGATCTTTTGTATATCTAATTTTACATGTCGTCCTGTCCATCTCCACATATTCCACATATTTAAAAAGAAGATTTTAATATAAGGGCATGTTTGCACAAAGGTGAACTTGATCTAATTTAGCGTAGACCTGGTTTACTGCATTGAGTTTGCACTGACACAGCAAGAACCTAGGGAAGTCTTCCCTCAATAATAAAATAATAAATTTTGAGATTTGCATGTATGAAATGTCACATGCTAAGATTAACATTAGCCTGTTTTTATCAGAAGGTGTGTGTAGTTGTTTGATACTACTGACGGTGCCCCAAAAATCATACATCTTCTATCAGAAATAAATGAGCTATGTCTTGAATTTCTAGCTATAGATTTTTGTGCATCTTAGCAAGCAGGTATGCATAACTTAAAAGACAGATGGTATAAAGTAGGCAAGATTAATTTAGGTGCCCTTTATGGCACTTAAATATAATACATTTGGAAAGGTAACACACAAGCCTTTAAAAATATTGGCTCAAAGCAAATGCCTCTGGTAGCAGAAGGGGCATTCTTCTGGTATTCAAAGATAAAAGCTGCCCTACTTGTGCTCTTCTTTTAATGGTTCATGCACCTTTCTTTTAATAATGTTACACCTTTATTTTTGCACATTAGTCTTTTGTGTTTCAGATACATTTGCCTCTAATACTTCATTTTACACATATCCTTAATTAGTGGCGTTTTAGATATATATATTATTTTGTTCATAAAAATGTATTCAACTTAATGTAATAAAAATCTCGTAAGTAGTTCAATATTCAATAGAATTTTGTAAGGACTAGATGAAAACAAAATGTGATTGTACCACAAAAAGCTGAGCAGCGTGCAGATCTTTCAACACTGGTGTAATATGTGGAAAGCTGGATGCCCCACTAAGCACCACAACAGCTGTATTTTGCATGAGCCGCAGCTTCTGAACTGAGTGCATTACAGTAGCCTAACAGTGAGTTTACCAATGTATGAATCACTATGACAAGACTATTCTTGTCCACAGAAGTCCAAAGTTGGTGTACCAGCTAAAGTTGGTGATGTGTTCTCCAAGCCACTGAGATCACCTGGGGCTCTTGTGAGAGCAGCACCCCTAACCATGCACCTCTTCCTTCAGAGAAAGTGCAACCCTATTATGATCTTATATACAACAACACATTTCCCAGATCTGAAAACCATCCAACCTTATTAGTGCTAATTGAACCCATGACTTCATGCTGGCACCATTTTAGAATATGCATGAACTCTCATTTCAGATTTCACAAAGAAATCAAACTAGGCAGAATCATACTGGTGACACCTTGCCCAAATCTCCTAAAGATCACTCCAAGCAGCTTCATATAGATATGAAATAGCATTGTGGACAAACAGCACAGTCACCCAGTATTACTCCCTGGAAGCATCACTAAGATCGCCATACTTGGTGATGATTGAAAGCATTATTTATTTTTGTGATCTTGTGATTATGTTTCTGAATGTCCTGTTGTGTTGCAGATGTGGGAAGAAGCAATATCCTTGTGCAAAGAGCTGGCCGAACAGTATGAAATGGAAATTTTTGATTATGAACTTCTCAGCCAGAACCTGGTAGGAATGCCACTCTCCAAAAATATCCAGTTACTTGTAATTTCGTCTTTCTTTTTAAAACCTTTATGTAGATCCGATGGCGGGCATTAATCGTGTTGATTCATACATACTGCTGAAATACTCAATGTTCAAAGACTTGCAGTTTAATATGTGATGTCAAGTGAACTATAAGTGCTGTCTGTGGTATTTGATTCCTCGTTGCTGTTCCATATATGCAAATCCTGAAGTGTGCTTTGCATTTGCTGAGTGATGAAAGTGCATGTGTAAACTTACTTAGGTGGTGTTTGTCAATCTGTATTAAGCTGCTTAATAAAAGTAAATCAAGAACACTTATAAAAATGATCTTTGCTTTCTTTTCCTATTGTAAGTTGATTGGAGAGAGGAGTGGGCCTGTTATGACATTCTGTAAGTTGTAGGAGGGTAGCTATGAAGTAGCCAGGAAATCTTCATCAAGCTGGAAGGCACATGAAATTCTTTTTGGTCAAGTGTCCTCTAAATCTTCAGATTTTATTCACTTCAGGCATCAGTTTTTTTCTCTCTTCTAGAATTTTTTAAATAATTCACTGGGTGGGGTGAATAGTTGTTTTTCTTTTCATAGTAATATGCAAATGTACTAATATACAAATGCTCAAGGAAGCTATGTAAAGCATAATTGCATACTTAATGAAAGTGATGTTAACCAGTTTCTTTTTACTGTGATGCTAAAGGAACCTATCTGTGTCTTTACTTTCAGAGGCAGCAAGCAAAGTTCTATGAAAATATTATGAAAATTCTGAGGCCTAAACCAGACTACTTTGCTGTTGGATATTACGGCCAAGGGTTCCCCACCTTTCTAAGGGTAAATGCATCTGCTTTGTGTACTTTATCTTTAATAACTGTTTGTACATAGCCCTAAGGAACACCAATATTCTGCCAGTGAAAATGGAGTTATTTACTGCAGGAGAGATTTATCTTCATTTGACTCTGCAATGCACAGGATTTCTCTTGCAGCCATCTGAAGTGTCATTTGTAACAATAGTGAGTGTCACATTTTCAGAAAGAAATGTGATTTATTGCATTCTGTTCTTTTTCCTGCTGCTTTCAAGGTTAGAAGAGGCTTATTGTGGTGATAAGGAAATGTTCTGGATTTTTACAAGACAATCATAATTAAGGAATGGTTTATAGCTGGAACACTTCCTAATGAACAATAATAACAGCAATACAAATAGCCCAGAGAATGAAACAGGAAATCTAATGACTATTACATCTAGTGCGCTTCCACTTATATTTGTAATTTGTATAGGTGAAATCTCATAAAACAGTTGTGCCTTTACTACAGTTTTTATGATTCCTGTTGCTGTTAATAGCTTAAACTTTCAAATGCTGCTAAACCACAACGACAATTTCCGCTTCCTCACCCTTCAAAAACTGATTAGCAACGTAGCCATAGCCTGAGATACAATGAAGTATACTAGATGTCCCTACCCAGCCTATCAACCTACAGGAGAATTGTGTGAGTAAGGAGCAGTGGTCCATAATAAATGGACTTTTTGCTTCTTTAAAGAATGGCAAGGCTCTATTGTTGTTAGCCGCTCTGAGCCCGGCTTTGGCTGGGGAGGGCGGGATATAAATAAATTTTTATTTTATTTTATTTTATTATTATTATTATTATTATTATTCACCTTTTTTAATTGGCCCTCACATATAATGTGTTGCAAATGACGACCTTGAAATATTGCTGATGTTAAGAAGACAGCGTTGCATATGCAGCCTGCATTCACTAGTGCTAAGAGGAACAGAGTAAGTAATGTTCTAATGCATAGCAATATTATCTACAAGTTTGTAGTCTCAAAAGTCATCTAAACTTTTCTTGCAGAACAAAGTGTTCATCTATCGTGGCAAAGAATATGAGCGGAGGGAAGATTTTCAAGCGCAGCTGATCAGCCACTTTCCAAATGCTGAAAAAATGACTACTACTGCACCCCCTGGAGAGAACATCAAAAACTCCACAGGCCAATGTATCCTTATAATCCTTATTAATAATCTATAGTTATTAATAAAGGGGAAAGAGATACCTAGTGTTAGATGGAAGTCTAGAGAAAGCAATACCGAAATTCTTAGTGTTTTAGGTATGCTTTTTGAAGATAAACTCCTAAAGTGTTTTACATATACTTTGGAAATATATGGAGTATACAAATAGACATTCACATTTTCCAAGAAGCTCTGCTTGGTTGTGGCTCTATGAGCACTCGGTAACTGGCACAATTTACTAAATGTGTAATGCTATATTTATTTTAGGTTTTCTGAAGTATTTAATGTACTCTCTTGTAGGCTACGTGAGTATCCTTGCTTTTGTAAGTACGCATCTATTGGGTTCAGCAGCTCTTTTCCAGTTGCCCACAGTGATCTTCACCTTTCTTTTTAATTATGTATTTATTTTTTAGAAAATGTTTGAGTTAACCAACATCACTTGAGAGACAGTTGCAGATACTTGTGTTTATCTATAATTATAACTATAGATATAAGCAAACTATGGGAAGGGAGGCAGGAGAAAATATATTTGCATGAGAGGATAGGAGAGAGGAGGAAGCAAATTGCACATTCTAAAATTGAAATAGGGTCTTTCTCCATAAAGATAAATCTGCCATTTGTGCTAAGTGCATATCAGAATCCTTAATGAAACACAATGTGGGATGCATTCATTTCTCACTTCTTTATATTATACCGGATTGCATAGTTCAATGCTGAAGACAAAAAATTACATTTAAGAGTTGAAAGTGCTATAATAACACTATTATTTTCCTCAGTGTACATACACTTTTTAAACCTACTATAGAACCCTGAAAAATGAAGTTGTCTTATGGTGACTTAGACAGTTGGTCCATCTAACTCAACATTGTCGACTGTGATTAGCAAAGGTATTCTTGATCTTTAAACTCCAGGATGGGTAACCTCTGGCCCTTGAGTTGTTGGACTCCAACTCCCATCATCCCTCATCATTAGTCATACTGGCTGGGGCTGATGGGAGTTGGAGCCCAATAGCTAGAGGATTGAATGTGCTCAATCCCTGCTTTAATTGGAGATGCTGGGGACCTCTGCTACTGAACTATGAACCTTCATTTGAACATAATTACCACAGGTGAGCATACATAGATGCCACAAACCACGATGTCTTTCACATACAACTTTAATATGCTGAAAAATTACTGTCTATCTCCAGCCTAAGAGGGAAGAGATGTTGACAGGATGATAAACAGTTATGGTTTAAAGGCATATATGGAACAGCTGTCATATCACAGTTGTGCTTTGTGCAGGCAGAGAGTGGTGTATGTCATGTCAATACTGTGTCCACTACTGCAAAATGCATCAACGAAACTACTTAAAATAATTTTGCACATAGTTCTTGTTAGCAGTATATCCCGCTCTATGCATGTCACAGAAATAATACAAATTTGACCACAGTGGCACACCTAAATCCATAGAGTGTTTAAGGATCATTCACAAAGTCAGAGAGTGGTTTGTTTCTTCATTAGACCACCATCACCCTCAGGTACAAAGCTGTATACTGACAATGCAAGTTTCAGCACCACAGTAATTCCTTTTTGTTTATTTTTAAACCTCTGCCACAGTGGCACTCTTAACTCCAACAGTGGTTGGTAAAATAAGATATAAAACATTTAAAACAAAAAGTGCCATAAAACAGCTGCCATCAAGTCTATCAGGAAGGAAAATCAAAAGCGTCACTGGGACACATCAGGCAGTATCTGAATGGCCTCACAGAAATGCCTGTCTGAATGCCCTGAACAACAAGAGGTAGAGCAAAGCATCACCCTCCCATTGAAGGAAAAACAGTCATTTAGAGCAGGGATGGGTAACCTAGCACCCTCTACAGTAGGCTTCCTCAACCTCGGCCCTCCAGATGTTTTTGGCCTACAACTCCCATGATCCCTAGCTAGCAGGACCAGTGGTCAGGGATGATGGGAATTGTAGTCTCAAAAACATCTGGAGGGCCAAGGTTGAGGAAGCCTGCTCTACAGGTTGTTGAACTATAAATCCCATCATCCCTAACCTTAGGCCAACATCTGGAGGGCCACAAGTTCCCCAACCCTAGTTCAGAGCTTTCTTAATGCTAATAATAATAATAATAATAATAATATGCCGCCCAGCCACTCTGGGCGGCTTCCAACAAATTTAGAGAGCCAGTGTGGTGTAGTGGTTAAGAGCGGTAGACTCGTAATCTGGGGAACCGGGTTCGCGTCTCCGTTCCTCCACATGCAGCTGCTGGGTGACCTTGGGCCAGTCACACTTCTCTGAAGTCTCTCAGCCCCACTCACCTCACAGAGTGTGTGTTGTGGGGGAGGAAGGGAAAGGAGAATGTTAGCCGCTTTGAGACTCCTTAAAGGGAGTGAAAGGCGGGATATCAAATCCAAACTCCTCTTCTTCTTCTTCTAAACACAATACACTCGCTTTAGCTATTTTCTCAGCATGTTGCAACATTGAATGCATTAGCTGTATTTGTTCTTTTGAAGTTAAAGGTTGTGGTGATTTTATTTCTAAGCATGACACTGTTTATTCAATAGGGTGGTATTTTTGGATCATGATTTGACCATGTTCATACTGTAAGGAGGGCTTAGAAAGCTTTAAAAGCCTTAAGCCTGTCTTTTATAGGAATGTTTTATAACAGCTTGTCAAAATATCATGTGTCTCCATTTCTCAGGCCCAACACTCAAGCTAAAAGCACTTAAGAACCAAGCTCTTTTTGTTTTCCATTCACCCTTCACCTTTCCTTTCTTCTGGCTTCCTATTCTGGGAAAGGAAGCTGTCACACATACACAATCACCTTTTAAAAAGAGACATTTCCTACCTGTAGGGCGCAATTTTGAAACTCAATTTTAGTAACCAAGCAAATGTTCCTTGTTTGATTTCTATATTATGCTGCAGTGCTTTCCACTCAAAGATGTAAGATGTAGGAAGCTTCCTTTTTAGTCATTCATAAAGTGACTGAATGGTGGGACACTTGCAAGCAGTCTTGGATGAAACTGATTATCTTGACTCATTTCAGTCCTGGTTCAGATCCTACTATGAACCTTGGTCTCCCTGATGGATAAATTTAAGATAAGGATAAGGAGACCGTTAAGCAGAGTGTGACCTTGATGTTTTTATTTGACGTCTCTGTGGTTTTTGATACTATTGAGCTGCTCAGAGTGGCTGGGGCAACCCAGTCAGATGGGCAGGGTACAAATTGTCATCATTATCATCTTTATGAACTGAGTCAGTGAGAGACGTTTTGACAGCACTGTTTTAAAATGCTTTTGATTGTATCTCCAAGTTCAGTTTCAAATAATAGCACTGGGTGATTATTTGGGGGCCCTTGTTACTTTTGCTGTGCAATACCACAGGATGCCATCTTGTCCTCGGTGCTGTTTAACAGCTATATGAAGCCATTGAGAGTAGTCATTATGAGATCTGGGTGAGATGCCACCTCTTTTTCTCTGTAACATCTGTTTCAGGGGAGACCATGCAAGGCCTGGACCAGTGCCTGTACTTAGTGGTGGACTAGAATGAGGACCAATAAATTGGGTCTAACCCTGGCAAAACAGAGGACCTAGTCTTGATAATTAATTGATTACCTGCTTGGGTTGGGGTCATATGCCCTTTGAAAGACTTCTGATTCTATCTTTGTCACCAGAGGCCCCAGTGACCTTACCAGCTTCAACTAGTAAGGCATCTACAGCCAGGATAGCCTGACCACTGTTCCTTGAGGTTGGCCCACAGGCTGAATTTAGTGCAAAATGCAGAGGCTGAACTGCTCACTAGGGCAGGCTACCAACACCATGTTACGCTACTGCTGAAAGAAACTCAATGGCTGCCAATTAGCTACCAAGCTAAGTTGAAAGCGTTGGTTAAATCGCTTTAAGCAGGACATGTTGGCTCAATATATTTTGGACACCCTAAAAGTCATGTAATATTTTTGAACCTAAATTTTAATAAATGTCTACTTTGGCAACTATTGTCAACTCCCCAATACCCCGTGTTTTTTGTTTCCAAGTTACTCATATCCGCTTACAAAGCTTAGCAGAATATGCTGTGATGTTTTTGTCCTTAACCAGTGTGATCTTAGACGTACAATGCTTCACAGTTCAACCAGTTTTGGAAGAACACCCTCAGTTCAAAAACAAGCCAGTTCCCGATCAGATTATCACGTGAGTTTATGTATTTGTTGAAACTGATTGTATAAAAATGCTTGAGAGTGGCACAGTCAGTGGGTTATCTTCTGTCTGGCTTCCCTACCAGCTAGAAATCTAAAAGCCAAGCCAAACTTCAGATGGAATGTAGCCTTTCATAACATGAGGAGCTTTAATCTTTATACCATTCAGGATCCCAGTATTTGTTGGAACGCCTCTTCCAATGTGAACCTACTCAGGCAGCAAGAGAATCATCTAGGGCACTTCTCTGGGTGCCCTTGGCAAGAGAGGTTCAGAGGGTGCGGGCAAGGGAGAGGACTGTACAGAAAAAGGAGTGCAAAGGACACCTACTAGGCAGAACTAGAAGGTGGTGAGCAGCATAAGGGGGCTGGTAGGTCCCATTATCAGCACACAACGGTGTTGGTGACTTGTGGGTGTCATTTGGTAGTCCACCACACCTCAACCAGGGTGATGTATCAGCAGAGTATGCGGAGCCCTAGCAGAGTCTTCAGAGATTTCCTGCTCCCAATGGAACAGCCTGTTCCAGATTCCTCTCCCATGTAGTTCACAGTAACAAAGTGTTTACTGTCTCCAGACACACGACAAATCTAAACACTATCTACTATATATAGTTCTTTTGATCTTTGAAGTAAACATACTTATGTACAGATCCACAACCACACACTAGCTAACACTGCTGTGTAAAACCCTCAGCCTCTTCCCCTGACTAATAACAGACTGAGAGTCAGGATATAGAAGTCTGAGGCACTCTCTTTTCCATTTCAGCAGAGTATCAATAGGACCTACAAAATGCACTTTGTTCTAATTTTTATAGCCCTTGCATGAAGGGTTAAAAGGATTAAAATGCAAAATACCGTGGACTCAGAATGGGATGTGTGTAAGCAAGTGCTCTCTGCTTACGATATGGACTACTGGACCAGGTTTTCCCCCCTTGGGTCAAATGTCTGAACCTTACCCTGTGACAGCCATGGAGCCCAACAACATATAGAGAACCAATTTTTATTTTTATTTTTTTGCTTCACATACAGACTTAAATACCAGTCAATAAATAACATGTTTAGTTCATCAAATGTTAACTCCAAAGAGATCCTCCTTATATAAGTAACTTTTAAAATTGGCAGCATAAGGCACTTCCCAGTTGTATCTGTTAGCTAATTTAAAGACTTTGCTACCATGAGACACACAAATTGCTATCCTAATAAGGGACACCTTGAAATGATGCACTGCATAAGTCTTTGTATCTGTCCTTCCATCTGTCATGTTGCCACTGCTAAGTTTATTTCCCCACCCCCACCCTAGTCATTAAGCGGGAAACCTGACACTGAACCACCAATCTAGCTAATGCTGCCAAAAGCAGCTGATTGAAGAGAATGATAATTCAAATGTAATGCAATAGCCATAATCTATTAGATGGAACCTTTTGAGCTTTTGTTTCTTTTGATCATTTGTGCTGTAATGGGAGGATGGCAAGTATGCTAACTTGGGAGGGAAATTAGCTAACAATAAAGCCAACATCAGTGAATGTGCTCAAGAGTGGCCAGATGTAAAAGGCAAAATGTACCTGCTAAAATGTCCTCTTCTACACAGTTATTAAAGGTGTAGGATCCCTGCCCACTTTCCCATCTCTGCCCACCCTAATGCATTCTCCTAGCACCCTGGGATAATTTATTGGCTGCTTTGGGGGAGCTGCAACTCCTTATCTTTCAAGCCACACTTCCCCCTACTAATACTTCTTTCTCCTTTTTTTACTTGACATGTCATATTGAATGTTTAGCCTTATTCAGATGTTCTTTGTCCCTACTGGTCAACATGGGAGTGAGTAGCTTCGGAGGTGCCAATACAGCTCCCAGCCAAAGGTGCAAGGAACTTGGGGGGGTGCCAATATATCTCCTTGCCAAGGGCACAAGGCACAAGGGGACACAGATACAGCTCCATGCCAAGGGTACAAGGGAGCCTAAGTACGCCTCCGAGTTCTGGTCAAACTGTTGTGTACAATTTGAATGGAGGGAGCAGAAGGCGCAGTTTGCTGTTTATGATCATAGCAGTCACCCAAATGACCATGCGCCTCATGGGCAACAACATCTGGACAATGATGCCTTCTTTCCCTTCTATTATCTTCCTTCTCCATAGCTATGAAAATAGCTCTGATGGTGATCATTGCTCTCTGCTCCCATTTGAGTCACTTTCTAGACTTACACAGGTGCCTCTTTGTCTTCTTTCTCCTCTTTTGCACACTCTGGGCTCAGAAACTTCTACTGTCTGTCCCTTTGACTTCCTATTCTCAGCCCAGTATACCTGAAGGAGCGTCTCCATCCCCACTGTTCTATGCGGACACCGAGATCCAGCGCCGAGGGCCTTCTGCCAGTTCCTTCACTGTGAGAAGTGAGGTTACAGGGAACCAGGCAGAGGGCCTTCTCGGTAGTGGCGCCCGCCCTGTGGGACGCCCTCCCATCAGATGTCAAAGAGATAAACAACTACCTGACATTTAGAAGACATCTGTAGTTTATAGAAGTTTTTAAGGACTGGTGTTTTAATGTATATTTAATCTCTGTTGGAAGCCGCCCAGAGCGGCTGGAGAAACCCAGCCAGATGGTTGGGGTACAAATAATAAATGATGATGATGATGATGTCTGGAACAGACATGGTCCATCTGGTTACCCATTCTTCAAGCCCCTCTGCTGCTATGTCTGCATGGATGTTGCTTTTGTGCACTTCCTGCTGCCAGTTAAATGTATTTCACTCCTCTTGATGCTCCATTACCTTTTCCTGTCTTAGCTCATAAACAATGACTGTATCACTGTGTCACATCTAGCCAAAGACTCAGGCAATTCAGTATTATATATTCAGCATCTCATACTGTTTGGAGTTATACGTTCAGGACCTGCAACGAAATGTTGTACAGTAGAGTACTCTTGTTCAGGATGCTAGCCAGCCATGCCTTTGCCCCCAGTTTTCCATTTCCGCCCTCCCCCAAGTCAGTTTGTATTCCATGCACACTGATCCTGCTTGGTCCTCCTTGAGCAGTTTTGAGCCTATCTCCTGCCTTAGATTTGTACTTTTGCGAGCCCTGGAGTTCCCCCAAGCCTTCCTCTTATACACTGATAGTGCCGTTCTGGGAAACTGGCCTGTGAGTTTTCCACTGGAACTCAAGGAAATGCTTCATGTAGCTGATGAAGTGGACCGCAGTCCACAAAAAGATTATACCGTAATAAATTGGTTAGTCTTTAAGGCACCACATGACTTGTTGGTTGTTTTTACCTTTGATCTTGGTGGGGCTTACTTCTGAGCAGACATATATAGGATTGCCTTATTTTCTAGACTAGAGATAGACTTTTATAATTAAACTAAGACAGCTGGATCTGAAACAGATATCACTATCCTGACTTCAGAAACATGCTTAAGAAGGTGAGTTTTCCAGCCATCATGATTAAGAGAGTGAAACGCATTGGGAATAAAGGGATTATTATTGTTGTTGTTGTTGTTGTTGTTGTTGTTAAATGATACATGCAATCCAACATCTTCTGGGCAGACTAGTTTGCCAGCTTACAGTCCCAAGGTCCTCACTCAGTGAAGGAGCATGAGTTCTCAGGTTCAAATTTTAGACTCTCTAGTTCAACCCAATCTTAGGTATTAGGAAAGAGCCCTGGAGATATATTTGCCATGAAGACAGTCAAGTAGATAGTACTGGGCCGGAGGGCATCAATTATCTACTCAGTTTGGTTCATGTGTGCTTAACTGTGTCCGCCTTCCCTACTTTTGTCTTCTATGTGGCTGACTGACTGAATGGCAACAAATTAATAAGAAGCATACACTTCTTATTAATAGTTATCCATGTTTAATTCTGAAAACCTTTGTGGAAAATCAAAGTAGAAAAGATATCATAGCCTACATTTCTCCCCTGCTCTTTGTTTTGCTGATGACAGGGTTGAATGGAAACGTGGGTACACAACAAGGAGTCAAAGAATAGCTGTAAAATATCCAGTAGAAATAGAAAACAGCTGCATGTATTGTTCTTTAAGTCCAATGGTAGGAAACAGCACCTATTACATTAACTTGCATGTATTTTACAGTCACTATGGTATTCTAAAATCATAATAGGCACAATACACACACACACACAAAGAGAGAGAAACATTTGGACAATATTAAAAATAGATAATATAACTATTTTGGGGGGAAATAGGAACATCCCTACGCTAATACATTTGCTGTCAGTTAGAGGGAGGTTTTCAGAAACCAATTGTGAGTAGCATTATCACATATGAGATTTTTAGAACAGAAAATAAAAAGTTAATTTTGGTAAGACAATATTCTAAAGATACAAGAACAATTTTGTTCATTTTTATGTAGCTATGACTGTTCCTTGTTGACCCTTAAAGCAGTTGGATTTAATTGTGATTATATAGGGCACAGAGCATCATTAAATAACATGGATTCTGGTGCTCCGGCATCACTTTCAGTAAGTTTTTTTCCTTCAAGGCTTGCCTACCCTTTGCAAACCAGAATTGTTTTATGGCTTCATGCTTTTGAGTGTCTAGATTTCCGCACTGTAAGTGGAATTGTCACAAGAGGTGATCTTGTTATGTCTGCAAAGTGGTTGAAATATCACATGTATCAACAAGGAAAATATCATCTGCTTCACCAGGTCATTTACAGCTCACCATAAAACATAGTGCTTTATGTCTGTCCATAAAAAAGGTGGCGGAGAGAGGATTGATAGATTGGCAACAGGAAACAGCAGCATCTGCAGAGTGAGATTTCAGCAAATTGCCATTCAGAATCATTGGATAGACTTGTTTTTTGACCTTAGAAAATGTTGGCATTTTTTTGGTTTTCGTATAATACTTTTAACAAGTGTCATCATTTCACTTTCCCCTTTGTGCCAAATCACTCTGTTAGTTAATGCAAGTCCCCTTCCCACCCCATTTTTCTGTCTTCTCTCCTCCCTGCACCCCAAAACTGCCAGCCTCTGAGTCCTCACTCAAATGTTACCTTTGCAATATGGACCAGAGCTGCCTGCAGTGAGTGAACTGTGCTGTAACTAAAAAAAATACATTTAATTATTTTACTTGCACATTCAATGGAACGTAAAGCAAACATGCAATTGAAGAGTTTTGTAATACTTCTTTTCTTTCAGCTTTTACAAGTGTAACCATGTGCAAAGATTCCACTACTCAAGACCAGTCAGAAAAGGGTCTGTTGACCCCGAAAATGAATTTGCTGTAAGTATTTTTTCTCCCAGTTATGTTTTCAGAATGATCAAGATTGCATACATTAGTTGTGCAGAGGCGATGTGTGGCGAAGGCCCCAGCTGAACTGCAGGCTGTGTTACCAGCAGAAAAATTGGAATCAGCGTACAAATGGGACAAGAGTAGGGTGCCTCAATAGCACCATTAGAGCCAAGTGTATCTGGTCTTCTAAAATGGTTGGTTCCTTGGGCCTTAGCATCACCTGCTATTTGGGGAGATAAATTTAATCATGATTGGGCCTGAGAAGGAAACAAACAGGCATTTCCTCCTGACTACATAGAATGCTGCTGCCAAAGAGAACATATTCCCACTATTCCTGGTGGGTATACTGGTAATATCCAGGGCAGATAAAGTAATAAATGATTTGCTGGTCATGACATACAATGAATCTTTTGCTCCAGATAATCTTGGTTCAGAATCCAGTATGTTATTTACTCCATTACCCTCTGTTTCTTTTTCGGTGCTTGACAGCTTGCATAACAGTGGCCTAGTTTAAAATTGGATTTAGAAAGACGCCTCTTCTATGTTTGCATTTTTATTGCTGTTACAATGCTGATGTGGGGCAAGGAGGGGAGCAGCTTCCTGCTATTATTTACATTTTTGTTCCAGTACCCTTAACGTCCTAACATTATTGTTTCACTGCTCCCTATTCCCTCTGTGTGTCTTTTAACAGTCTATGTGGATTGAGAGAACATCCTTTGTTACTGCTTACAAGCTCCCTGGAATCCTGCGTTGGTTTGAAGTGATCGCTATGTCACAGGTGTGTATTTGAATTCTGATTAGGGTTAATACACAATTTAACTCACAAAAATACAAATTAAATACACTCAGCACTATTTCAATGGAAAGCCAAAGGGGAGACACCAAAGGGTGTTGTCCCTTTTGGGGGTGGCACTTTGGGGGTGGAACGAGGGCATTGCCAGCCCCCTTGTGTTAAAAATATGGTTTTTATGGGGATGGGATTTTAACTTGGCGGGGGGTTGTTTATTTTTTGGGGGGGAGTGGTTTTAAATTGTTCTTAAGTGTTATATGTTAATTTTTATTTTGCATTTGTATTTTGTATTTTTGCTTTATATAGCTGATTAATATTCTAAAGCCTTTTAAATGTGTTTATGGGAAGAGAGTTATTGCTTTGTTGTTTTTGTTTTAACTATTTCATTGTGTTTTTACCTTGTATTTTTATCCTGTGAACCACTCTGATATCTTGTGATGAAGGGCATTATATAAATCTAAACAACAACAACAACAACAACAACACACTATGTTACCAGGAAATTCATTCTTAGTACTTAACAAGGGTTGGGTTCCCTCCCTCCTTCTTGATATTGGCAAATCTGATGTATTTTAAAATATGTTTTGGAGTCGACCCTGCATTTTGAATGCAGAATTCACTCAAGATTTTTTGAAGCACATCTATTTAATAGATAGGTAGTACAATTTCAGATTACACAAATTATATTCTTTATTTATTTCCCCACAGACTACCATTAGCCCCCTGGAAAATGCTATTGAAACAATGTCTATGACCAATGAGAAGATTCTGGCCATGGTTAATCAGTACCAAAGTGATGAGAACCTTCCAATTAACCCTCTGTCCATGCTTCTGAATGGAATTGTTGATCCAGCTGTCATGGGAGGGTTTGCTAAATATGAGAAGGTAAGGTTTTGAATAGTTGCTTTTAAAATTAAAATAATGCTTTGATTTATTATATCAACAACACAACCTTGGAGATATCATTGCTTGTTCTAATGTGAGGAAGAAAGACGGAATGATCTGTTTTCTGCTTGCAGGCTTTCTTCACTGATGAGTACATCAGGGACCACCCTGAGGATCAAGAGAAACTAAACAGACTTAAAGATTTGATTGCTTGGCAGGTAATACAATGCTGGGCACAATTCTCTGAAGCTTTTTCTTCTTTCCTCCCTGCCTCTTCATTTATTGATCTTGTTTCTAGTGGAGCAGCATAATGTGATTTTTACTTGTATAATATGCACATGTTTTCTCTTAATATATTTTTGTACCAAAGTAGGGCATAAAAGTGACTGGCTCTGCAGTATGTAACTAATATTACTGAGAAGGAGCTTTTCATAAAGGCTTTTAATAATAATACAAAATTCTTTAAAAGTGTTAGTTGGGATGAAAGAGCAGCCTCATCATGAAGTTGAGTTGACATATTCTGGACTTTCTTTGCCCAAAATATGCTAACCCCTGATCGAATGTAATACGATTGTGGAAAAACCAGTGGACCCAATTCAAAGGATCTTACTCTTGTTTACATCTCATTTAAATCAATGGAAACTACATTTGTCATTGCTAACTTGTTCCATTGATTTCAATAGAACTTAAACTTTCTTTCCCTTTGGTCTGAAGTATATGTTATTGCTGTGAAATATCTCACAAAACAAGGAGAAATGGAAATAGTTAAAACTGACCACTTTCATCCAAAGATTGATTAGCTTTTACTGGCTAATTTCAAAGCATTTTAGGAGTTAAACATCTAGATTCAGGATCCATGAAGTTCCATTAACTTGCTCCTACCTTATGACATACAGGAAAGGAAACTATCCTATTGTTTTAAAATATGTGTGTACAGATCAAGTGCAAGGCTGTAATCTTAGGTATAGGTGTGGGTAGGAGATCAAAGTGCACCAAGCTTGAGATCTTTCAGAAGTTTTTGCTATAACCACATACAAATAATGGAAAAAATAAAATGCTCTTTCCATTTAATATCAATATGCCAGTTTAGCCAAGCGGTCAGGCGCAGTTCAAACTTCCAAAATACGTCCAGTTGTGTGGTTGTGCTTCCATGGCCTGCGCACGTAGCTGCCTAGTACGATGGCCAGCAATTCTGTAAACCTTTGTTGCAGCCAGTCTTGTTAAGGTTCTGATGGAAGATTCTACTGCCTGTTTAACGTATTATACACTTTTGAGAAAACTCAGTGGAGTGTTAACGTCCTACAAGAAGATAGGAAATATAAATCCCATACTGACTCTGCAAGGGTAGGAAAATGGACTATAGCTGAGGAACGAGCAACAGTAAATAGTTGTACTATTTCCATAGCAAGTATTCAGTGGGAACCATTAAAAATTACAGTGGTACCTTGGTTTACGAACTTAATCTGTTCCAGAAGTCTGTTCTTAAACCAAACCATTCTTAAACCAAGGCGTGCTTTCTCATAGCAGCGGGGGACTCAATTTACAAATGGAACACACTCAACAGGAAGTGAAACATGTTCTGCTTCCAAGGCAAAGTTCACAAACCAAAACACCTACTTCCAGGTTTGCAGTGTTCTTAATCCAAGTTGTTCATAAACTAAGCTGTTCTTAAACCAAGGTACCACTGTATTCTGATTTCCAACAGAAATATGTCCTGGGCTGATTGATGGTGGTTGTTTTTTACATTTGTATTTTTCCTTTTGTAGAAGCAGAGTCCCATTTTGTGTCCTACATACAAAATAGACTAATTTTTATTTTGAGGAGTTGCCTAATAATTGTTTATGGGATGTGGAATGGTGCACTGACCCTTGTCAAAAACAATTGAGTAGATTGCAGAGAAGAGCAGGTAAAAAGCTAAAATCATCCCAAACCTCCTATGAGTCAGTTAGAAGGATTTTAAAAATGACCTCTGAAGTGATCCTTCACTTTTCAATAGCATAGCTCTGATTCAGCAAGGTGGCAAAGTAGATTCTAATACGGCTGATGTTACACTTTTGTCTATATTCTTGAAATAAAAGATAAAGGGAAGAGACCAGCTGCTAATGGCAAACACAGAAAAGAAGGTTTTGTGTCATAAAAAAGATCAACTACCGTATTTTTCGCCCTATAGGACACACTTTTCCCCCTCCAAAAATGAAGGGGAAATCTGTGTGTGTCCTATGGGGCGAATACAGGCTTTCACTGAAGCCTGGAGAGTGAGAGGGGTCGGTGCGCACTGACCCCTCTCGCTCTCCAGGCTTCAGGAAGACATCCGCAGCATGGGGAGCCCTGCGGGAGTTTCCGCAGGGCTCCCCACGCTGCGGATAGCAGCCTGCCGCCCGGCGCGCGGGGCACCCTGAAGCAGAGCGCCCCGCGCGCTGGGCAGACATCCGCAGCGTGGGGAGTCCTGCGGGAGTTCCCGCAGGGCTCCCTAGGCTGCGGATAGCAGCCTGCTGCGCGGGGCGCACTTAAGCAGAGAGCCCCGAGCTTCGGGCAGACATCAGCCAGCCCCACAAACTCCGGGGACAGCAGGGAGGCGCAGCGCCGCCATCCCGCTGTTCCCCGACCTGGTTTTGGGGGGGAAATAAAGGAAAAACTAGGTGCGTCCTATGGGACGAAAAATACGGTAATTCAGAAACTTCCAGTGCACATGGGACTCTGAGGAAAGCCATATACGCATGATTTTGCATGTGTGGGTTCCATACTGATTTTATGGGTTATAGAGGAAGAGGACTATGTGTTATGTGCATATATCAAAGGGCCCTCCATGCATAAAGTTAAATATCTTATATTTCTCCTTTATTTCAAAATGCTTTGTTATTTTGAAAAAGAGAAATATTGAATTTAAAACTTACCTTGCAGGACTTTAGAGAGGGATGCAAGGCAATGTCATAGAAAAAGCATAGCTTCTGCTCAGACTTTGGGGAGAAATAGCCCTCATTGGTTCCCTTGTTATTAGCAGCTACAGCATGAGGGCATGAGAAATCCGAGAGCAATCTGATCGCCTGGAAATATCACTTTCATTTTTATGCTCTTGTCAATTATTTAATGTTGCAAAAAAACTACATGAGGGATGCAGCGTGATGGCAGTTTCCTTTTCATGAGCTAAATGTTTATTGCTGCCAGCCTGTTCCCGGGTAAGCACCAATAATTGTCAGTTTCTTCCTTCCTTTGTGAATCAACAAGAAAAATGCTCTTTGCTGTGATAGTTACCCAGAGTGTTTATTCTGTGGGTGCTGTAAGTGTATACAAGAAAATTTTCAATCTCAGGCATAAGGAATGGCGTCTTTCCTTCATTTAGATGTCTAAATATTGTTTGCATAGGGCTGGATTCAACTAACCCAGTACACTAGAAGGTAGCAGCACAGGATAAAGTGAAATGGTGGTCTGCTGCAGTGTATTTTTCCAGTTACTAATCTGGACTGATTAAGCGTGACCTGGCACATTATGTTCAGAGCCTAAACGCTTTTGAGTCCTTGCTCTCATTATGTGTATTAAAACTACACAAAATGTAATAAAGCCTCCAGCTATCTAAACCTCTACTTGTCTGTGATCTTCCTCAGGAAACACACAGAATCATAGAACTGCAGAGTTGGAAAGGACCCCAAGGGTCATCTAGTCCAAGCTCCTGCAATACAAAAATCTCAACACACAACATCCAATTTGAAACCATACTGGATCCTCCTTAGCTTTGTAAATGTGCTCACCGTTGTACTGCTGCACCACCTACCTCTTATTATTTAGAATTGTCTTCAGTTTACAATAAGATGCGAAACTGCTGTTAAATGTTTCCAAGGAGGTAAAGAATAGTCAGTCGGCAAATATATTACAATTCTTGGCTATATTGTGGCAGGATTTTTTTTACACATTCTGTAGATCAGGGAGATAACCTGGCTAAACTTCTTCCTGCTGTTCCTTCCCAGATTCCATTTCTTGGAGCTGGAATTAAGATCCATGAGAGGAGGGTTTCAGATAGCCTTCGTCCTTTCCATGAGCGTATGGAGGAGTGTTTCAGGCACTTGAAGGTCAAAGTGGAGAAACAATATGGTGTCAGAGAACTGGTAAGATCCCCTGCTTTTACTTCTCTATTCTTACTTTTACTGTAGCTGCTTGAAGGGGGATGGGGAAGGAATCAATGACCCTTGGACTGTAAGGTGCAGCCTGTGATCTGAAGGCACTACAGCTTTCATCCAGCAGCCAGATCCACTTCTGGGGCACTAGGCTTCCCCTAGCGGAAAGCCAAGATCCTTCTGTTTATGTGAAAGCTATTCCACGTAGTTAGGGAGCTGAATTAAAAACCTTATGAAAATTTTCCAGCCAAGACCTAGAGCCCCTGCTTCCTTTCCTCTCCTCTGTAATTTTTAATAGCTTAGAGCTTTGATCCAGACTGAATATCCAGAGGTTCTTGGAAGATTCCAGTTGTTTGCTGAATCTGCTTCTGAAGCAAGCTCTATAATAAAACATAAATGCATTAGCTGAGGCTAAAATGGCTGTATAAAAAAGCTGTGCAATAGAATTAGCCACTATGTGTTTCTGACAGCTCTTGGAGCACAGCCAACTAAATAGCCGAATAATTAGATGAAATGTTTGATAGCATTAAGAATGAGAGGGTTGTTGTATATGGAAGAGAATTTCTGCTCTTGCCTGGAACACACTGCCCTTGCAGGTTGTAATGGTCTGGTTTGGTTTTACTGAAGAAAGGGCTTTCTAGGTGGTGAATTTTTAAGCTTATTCCTTGGGGGAAATTACATGGCCTAAGTCCCAAATAAGAAGAAGAGGAAGAGTTTGGATTTGATATCCCGCCTTTCACTCCCTTTAGGGAGTCTCAAAGCGGCTAACATTCTCCTTTCCCTTCCTCCCCCACAACAAACACTCTGTGAGGTGAGTGGGGCTGAGAGACTTCAGAGAAGTGTGACTAGCCAAGGTCACCCAGCAGCTGCAGGTGGAGGAGCGGAGACGCGAACCCGGTTCCCCAGATTACGAGACTACCGCTCTTAACCACTACACCACACTGGCTCATAATGCAAATTATGGCTATTTGTCTACTTTGTTTGCATGAATGGAAGTTTATTAACTTCCCTTATGTTAACTTAATAAACCATAATAAACCATAATAAACTTAATAAACTTCAGAATCCATAGTTGCCTTTAAACAAACTTTGGACCCCTGTTTGAAAGCCAGAGTAAGATGGGATTCAGTAATAGCAAAATTACAATCTGCTAAAGTCTTCCTCCCAACCGTAAATGGAGAGGAGAGGGGAGTGCACAAACCTGACACATTGCTCAGGCTTTTTCACTATTGTCCACATAGTAGCACTGAAGCATATTTTTGCATTATGAATGACTAGAGCCAGTGTCAGCTTGGTTGAACAGTCCTTGTCACTTTCAGGTCAGCTAAAATGCATCCAGGTTCTCTCGGCTACACTTGCACTTCGCCTAAGCTGTTCTCACTGGGAGCTTGGTATAAATAGATCCCGATTGCTGATTTGTGTCTCATTGCAAGATCAGTTAATTTAACCTGGGCTTTAGCAAACGATGGGGAACTTCCCAGAGTCTGACATGCACAACCTGATATAAAGTACATGGATAAGATAGCAGCCTGGCTCTCTAGTGTTTTAAATGTAAAGCAAACTACTAGTGTGGTTTCTTCACTCCCTTTAGATTTGAACATCTCCCAGCCTATTCTGGGTTCCAACTTGAGCTGAAATTTCACATGCATATCAATGCAAAAATGAAAAGTAATTTCCTTCAAGTATATGTTGCAAAATGAAGTATTTCATCACTTCTGAATACGTTCCACATAAATTAATATGCTTGGGGGATGCCAATATTTAATATATATTCCAATATATATAAAAGCCAATGAATTCAAAGAGCAGACCCCTTCTGGTTTTATCATCTCTTTGGCTGGCTGGTATGTTCTCTTTACCTGTGAAATGCAGCTGTGTGATTGTGTCTTCTCTCTGAACCTGGGGTTCACCAGATGAGAAGCAATTCCCACTGCATATAAAATGTAAAATGTATTTGAAAATAAACTTGGGAGCTCTAAATGGCTTTCCTGAGTCTCTTGCCGGAGGTGGCTCTCTGAGTGAAATGAGACAGCGTCAGAATAGAGCCTGAAGTATGAGATTACATACCAATTTCCATAGAGGCTTCATAATATCTCTGAAATCTGTTTTTTTTTTAAAGGCCCTGACTTTCAAGTATTAAACTCAGGGAGGTGGCAGGTTTTTACACCATGTACATATTGAGAATAGCTTCTCTGCCTTAATGCTAGGTAACTGAAGAAATTTCTGCTTCTTCAATAATGTGAGCTGAAAATCAAGGGGGTGATCTAAGTTCAAAATACAGCTCAGTTAGTCATGGATTGCACTAACCCCGGAGACTTGATCTTTCCTGGACATACTGAGCTGCTGTAGGCAGCCTTTCTCAGGCTGATCTGTGGGTGAATGAAGAAAGTCCTCAGCCAGCAGGAATTATTTTAAGTACAAAGGCAAAATCATGCAAAGTCAGGAACCCCTGGAACTGCCCCCTCCCTTTAAGGCTGCTTATTGGGGTCTGGGAAGGTCGTGGAGGGGCCCCAGCAGCTTCCCAGGCCCCAGTGAGCATGACTGCATCTTCCTTCCCTGCCTCTGGGATGCTCCCAGAGCCCTTGCACTTCCTTCATGGAGGCCAGTAAGGAAGGCACAGTCATGCTTACTGGGCTTTGGGAAAGTGCAGCAAGGACTCTAGGATGCTGTCAGAGCCCTTGTGCTGCCTTCCCAAAGCCTGGTAAGCGAGGAAACCCCACTGGGTGTGCAGGTGGGAGGAAAATAAATATATGGAGAGCAGGGAATGGTGGGTTTTTTTCTGCTCTCCATTTATTAATTTATCTCCATCATCATTTGTATAAGGTTGTGATTGCTTAAGTGAAAGAAGTGCAACTTGCAAGTTTACTGTAGCCGCCTCCTTTACATTTTCAAGGTTGGTTAAAAAGAAAAATAGAGACCCTTGCATGCTGTCTGGTTCATTTTTCAAAAATAGGGCGTAGTGCCAGTATACAGAGTTTCTCCTTGAACAACTGAAGTCTAAACATTAACTCTCTAAACCAGTTACAGTAGAAACACCAAGGTTAGAAAAAAGAACAAGATGCAGGGAAAGGGGGTGTTAGGTTAGTATGCCATCACTGAACCTTGCTGAGCTCCAAGTTGAGCTACCTTTATGTCTTCAATACATGCTTTCCGCTATTATCTTCCAACAACATGTTGTTTATTTTCCACTTAATTTGCAAACTTTACAAATGGGATTAAATCAAAGGAAAACAAAATCAAGGGTTAAATGCCTTGCTGAGGTATTTGAGTTTTATCTGTTCTACCTCATGGTAAATACCGATCTCCCTTTCCACCAGGGAAGATTAACTACCTTATATTTCCTATTCAGCCGGATTTTGATGATAGGCGAGTTGGTCGGCCAACATCTATGCTGCGATCGTATCGTCAGATGTCTATTATTTCCCTGTCCTCTATGAATTCAGACTGTGGTACACCAAGCAAGACTACTGTAGAAAGGTGAGTTTTATACTGACCATCCCATACAGATATGGCAGGAGTTTTCTCCTTCTCCTCTTCCTTCCTTCTCCTTCATCTTCCTATTACAATTTCACGTTATACAACAAAGTTATCAAAGCAACTTAATAATACTACAGAGAATTAAAAAAATTACACTAGAGCATAATAGTAATCATATACTAGCTCCCAACCATTCCCCAAGTACATCAGCATAATGATGATGATCTAAAACAACAAGCTAGCAAACAATCAAAAATCAAGTAGCAGGAGACAAAATTAACAAACAAATGCTTAGGAGTAAAGAGAGAATGGAAGCAATTCTCTGAAAGGCACTGCGGTTCCAAATCTGCATATTATGTTTTTGTATTTTATTATGATTTTGCATATGCTGGAAGACGCCCAGAGTGGCTTGGGGAACCCACTCAAATGGGCAGGGTACAAATAACAAAATTATTATTACAGAACAAAACCGGTACTTTGAACTGGGCCCAGAAACACAGTGGAAACCAGTGCAGCCAGACCAGAGTTGCTTTTATATGTTCAGACTGCCTGGTCCCTGTTAAGATTCCATCCAATGAATTCTGAACTAGCATGCAATGGCTTAGCCGAGACAGTAAGAATCCTGAGGAAATACAGCATGTGATGACTCAGCTGAGAAAGGTTTTTTAATCTTTTATATTTCTTAGAGAAACCCATTTCAATACTAAAAGCTACTTTTGAAATTTGCAATGGCAATCTGACTACATAGATCGCTGGTGAACCTTTGAAGACTTACTAATTCTCATTCCAGCACAACTTGCTACTTACAGTGTTTTCAGGAGTCATAGCCACAAAAATATGCATTGGGCAAATTAAAATATGTGTGCTTTATTCACAGAGAAAACCTGAGAGCTTGAAAACACACAGTTTTTAAAACATGAGTGTTGCCTTCCTGGATTCTGTCCACGTATTTTAAGATAATTTGGTAACTTCTAATTGGGCACCATTGTCCTCCAAAGTAACAAAAGAAGGTCCTCTAATTATGATGATGCCAAAGATGTTCTGTTAATTAATACAGTCAGCTAATGAACTATCCTGGAGTTGCTACATCACCAATAGACAGTGAAGAAATAAAGCCTAGAATTATAAAAAAAACTATTGATTTTATTCTTTTAACTGTTATTGTTTTCTTGGATATTTTAACTAAGGATATTTTAATTTTGCATGCATTTTAACCATGGATTGGTTTTATAGTTGTAAACTGCTTAGAAGCCATTTGGGCATACAATCAGTATATAAATAAATTGCAAATCATAACAAAGAATTGCTGTACCATTGTTACCTATTTATATGCAGTTTGTTTTTCTTACCCACAGAAGTATTTAGAGCAGACATTTCAAGTGTTTTGTTTCTTGTCCCAAGCTCCCCTCTCTCACCCTAGCACAGGTATCCCCAGACTCAGCCCTCCAGCTGTTTTGGGACTACAATTCCCATCATCCCTGTCCACTGGTCCTGTTAGCTAGGGATGATGGGAGTTGTAGTCCCAAAACAGCTGGAGGGCCGAGTTTGGGGAAGCCTGCCCTAGCAGGCTTATTTTAGCCATGCCCTGAACTCTTCGCCACAGCTTCCAGCACCTTACCTCTGCGAGAATCTTCTGAGGTCATCTGCTGTTTATTGCTTTGTTGTCACTTCTTGTTCCATCCATTTCCTTTCAGCTGCATTTGTGCCACTACAAAAAAAGACTACATAAAGGCACTTTCCCCAATAAACCTGCTCTGACCCTCATCTTCTATTCTCCTCCATCAGCTTCATGCATATACCCACCTGAGGAAATCCCGAGCTGTCTTGCATAACGGGCCTGCAATGCTGAATAGAATCATCTTTCAATATAGGAGCAGTGCTATGGGCATAATAATTAAAAGTGCTTTGCCTCAATTTCTATCCACAGCTTTGAACTGGAAGTCCTGTCTCCCAAGGCTACCAAGTCAGTGTCAGATGAGAATGTACGCCTGGCAAGCCCCCTGCCTGAAGTTAAGCTGAGAAAGTGCAGGAAGAGAGCAAAGAGAAGCAGTGTGGTCTTTGCAGATGAAAAAGCATCACCTGAACTTCTTGATATGAAAAGTGTATGTTGTTATAGATGAGTAGTCTCATTATAATTCTGAAGTACAAACTGTCAATTTCATATTAGACGTATGTTTTCTGGACAGCATGTGTCCCTTAAAGTATCAATGTCCATGAAAGAAAAAAAATGTGGTTTTCTTGCAAGATGTGACACTCATCTTGGAAAATGGTGGAAGATACATTTGCTTAATGGAACATGTCAGGTGTTGCTGAATGTTGCTGAACGCGAACTCCTAGCATCAGCCCTAGCAGGCAAGGCCAAGGATGTTGGGAGTTGTAGTTCAGCAACATCTGGAGGGCCAAAGGCTCCCCACATCTGGTATAAGTGAAGCTGTATAGTTACAGTACGCTTAACAATCAAGGAGGCTGGGAATATATCCTGACCTAAACTAGATTATTCATTTTTTTACTGTTGGTGACAGTCAGATGGCTTGTTTGGTGGGAGGTTGTAGCAGTGATCCAGAAGAAAGAAGTTGGCTGCACTTATGTGGTCCTGATTGCTGTTGGATACTTTCATAATGACCACCTATCCCTCTTGAGTCTTCTTAAGGAAATTAAATATTGTTAGGGCATTGCAAGTTTGCAAACTGTGCTCTATAAACAGTGCCAAGCTGCAGACTAAACCATTGGCACCTTTTTATGCGATCTATCATTTGAGCACTTTGATCACACTAATATATCATCAGCCTGACTTGCATTGCACAATTTTATAACATCACCCCTAAGAACCAAATGTTTTTGAGTATTAAAAAAGCAACGTCATTAAAGCAAAAATCAAAAACAGTTCAGTAAAGAAGCCTCATCTAATTTAGTTTACTATCCCAAAGCAAAGCGAACTAAAAATCACTTTGAATCATAAATCCTTTGGAAGAATTGTTACAAAGGACATAAAGTTCTATCCCAATATAATCTGTTTAAGACCCTATTAAATGGTCATCAGCTTCATTTACTGTTCACCCCAGGAGTAAATTAACTCCCTTTTGTGATCACATAAAATGTAAACATACATAACATTTAAAATTCAATAATTCTAAATAAGTTTCATATGCTTGCTGAGATCAGTATAAAATTCAGTTTTTAAAGACTATCATGGCATAAATGACTAAAACTTAATTTGTGCCTGCCAAGCAGATGTTGAACAGATTTAGAGTGTTGGCCACACCTTTGCCAAATAAAGAAAGATGGGGTAGAGAAGTGAATATGACACCAGTTATTTAACCTTCAGAAATTTAGCAAGTGTCCTTGAGCATGTATGTCTAATTACTATGACTGTGGGATTTTTCTAGCTTTCTGTTGGTGATATCCTATAGATCAAAGCTTCTACCTCATTTTAGTTTTGTGACAGGGTAAAAACCATTAGAGTTAGACAGAAGCTCAGGGACAGCCGAAACAGCTGCTGGCTGTTCCCCCTGAGACCCCAACCATTCTCCTCTGTTGCCAAATAACCTCTTCCTTCCCCCATCCGCCCCAAACCAGCCTACTGCTCCAGGTATGGTGGTCAATACTTCACCAGTGTTGTAGAAAGATCCAGTCTATTTGGCTTCTGTGTACAGAACTGTGTGTTGGGAGTGAAACTACAGTCCCTGGTTAAGACCTAATGCTATATTAAGAGTTGTGGATTCCCTCCCCACTCCTTGCAACAGTGGAAAAGAGTGAAGTGGGTATGTTTTGCTCATATAGAGAAAGTATGTTTACTGTGACATGCAAATGAGGCCATTGTAAGAAAATAGAAGTGTGTTTGGGTGATCTTTCCTCTGCATTCAGTGTCTATAAGTAAAGAAATGGAAGTGGCTCCCCTTGCTTGACTAAGTAAGATTTCAAGGATGCTATAACCTCCTTTGTGCCCTTGGGCAAGTCTCATTAGCTTCAAGATAACTTGTACAAAACCTCCCAGTGGACTGTATTTTTAGAGCACAGTTCATATTCTACTGAATTACAGAGGAAAAAACTCCCATTGATTTTAATGGTCTTAGGCATCATACCTGAGTCAATAAAATGACTGCTTGGCTTTACTGATCTTTAGTTATTAAATGAAGCATTTTGCATTCTTCTGGCTTAGCCAGGGGCAGCTTCACTTGTGAGGAAGCAGTAGTCTCTTCAAATAATTGAAAAAAAATTATGTTTGCCAACACAAGTAAAACTCGCACGAATAATTTTACCCTATATGCAACTGTTAAAATCGGTTAATTCCCCCTCCTGAGTACTGAATGATTTGTGTGTTACTGCACAGCTGTCAAGAAAACATGCATTTATGAGTGACACGAATCTTTCTGAACATCTGGGTGTACCTCACAAAACATCTGTTCTCAAGCAAATGAGCTTTGCCAGCCGTTCTATGCCAACTATTCCAGGTAAGGCAATTGGGATAAGAGAATGAGAACTCTGTACTTTGGGGCTGCTAGTAATTAAAATAAAATAAAATAGGCTGCTTCAGTTCACTGTTGTTTTAAAAAAGAACTTCAATCTTTTAAAATTCAAAATGTGTTGAATATTAAGTATTATATTAATGTTTTAGTGCCTAAAGCAGACATTTTGATACAGGCCAAGCATCAACTAATATTTTATTCAATGTTGCCTAATCATTATAACAGTTACAATCAGTTAAGATTACTATCACTCGAGTCCTTTAACTATCACTGTGTGTATAGAGTGCACAGACGCAAACACAAGCTATGTGCTCAGATAGTCCTCACAGGCATCAGAGCCATTTAGAAACTCACAAGTATAGACACTTTTGTGCCAGCATCAGAGTAATAAAGAGTAATAGCAAAATCAAAGGAACATAAATATTTCATTGCTGTTGCAGTTAAGAACTTGTGAAGTGGCGGGACAGGTATTTTGTGCAGCACAGAAAAGAAGGAAGAGTGTTTGGACATATATTTAGCAAGACAAAAACCCACCCCTGATAAATGCAATAATGGAGGCGGGTATCCCACTCCTCTGCCTTGCTCTTTTCTTGATTAGCAGTTCTTACTCTCCACTTGATTAACTAAAGCTCTTGTGGACAATTGCCAGCGAATTCCCAGATGCACAGCATCCAAACAAGCATATTAGAGAAGGAGTGAAATTATTAATCTTGCTGGAATCTTGGGAGCTACCTGACAGATGGGGAGAAGGCCAAACCCTTCCATTGCACTGGATCTGGAGTAGGGCGAATCCTATAAGACAGGTCATTTATTCTGGAACAGGTGCTTCTGCAGAGATCCTTGGGTAGCAACAGTTACCAGTCATCTTGATCCTTGTACATGCAGTTGGAATGGGAAGCCCTAAGAGGCAAGAAGTCTTTTTGCTTTCACAGTTTGTGTCAAGCTGTTTAATTGTTGCCATTGTCCAACCATGGGAAGACAGGGAGTTACATTTTCTGCATGCAGATTTTTTTAGAATTAATTAATTTGGGCTCTCTCTTGTTACTTCATTAAGTACCAGTGTTTGCTTGTTTTTAAGGGGTAACTATGTCTGTGTGCTGCCCCCCACCTGAGGAACCAAATGCATCACAGAGGATGAGCCAGGCAAGCATCCCTCCTCCCATCTTGGAGGTAGACAGGAAAACTCTAAAAAAGAAGAAAGTGAACCAGCTCTTCAAAACAATAGTAAGTGAAAATTTTCAAGTTGGGGCTCAACTGAATAGTGGTGTCTGATCAGCTTCTAGCTGCTGATGAGCTCCACCTTTTCCCTGAGTTTTCAAATCAGATCTTGTAACTTGCATTGAAAATGTGAGGAACTGAAGATGCACAACCCGAAAAGCCCTACTGAGGAAATCGATCTGCTCATTGCATTATTTTTAATATTTACCTATTCTGTATGCACAGCATGCTCCAGCACAGCAATTTTAATATTAGGTTAACACAAGAAGTCTCATTTGACCTTCACTTGTACTCCTGGCCTGATTTATTTGCCAACCCAGCAAAAATTTAATGCTTCATTAAGATTTCAAAAAAACAAAAACAAAAGCCATGTGAGTTGAACAACTCAACCGCACAGTAGCAGCACTACAGAGCACATTTCTGTTTAGATCATAGTAGGCAACTTGGTACACACATTACACTGTGGTGCTTCCATACACATTTGTATAGAAGGTGTTAACAATGCTGCATTTCATGTACTCTAGGCAAAACTTTCTTCTTTCAATGAAATCACATCTTGCCTGCAAAGCAACATACAGTTCAGGCAAGTGTTGGATTACAGCTGACATCTATTTAAAGTTGATAAGTTTCAGGGGTTTTTCAAAAGCCTGACTGGAGATGTTATTATTTTCTAAACTCCGATAGCAAAACAAAATATGCAACCTAGAAATGCAGAGGGTGCTAGTATTTCTTGTGGTGCATGAAAGGATACCAAATTCTGCCATTTTATATGTACTGTCTCACTGAAATGCTGGAAGATTTCTAACTGGTATTTCCCTTTCATAAGTTGCTATAAAAGACAAGAATCGTGTTTTGTTTTAGCTGACTATGATCACTAACATTAAAGTATTCAAAGGATGCCATATAGAATATTTCAGTACTTCTTGCTACAATACTGTAAGGTAAATCAGTATTGTCAGCCCATGACTGATGGTGAGGGATGAAGGGAGTTGTGGTCCAACAGCACCTGGAGAGCTATAGGTTCCCCAATGCAGCAGTAGTAGCCGCCACTGGTTTTATTATCTTGCATGTGTTCCCAGCATCAGCTCACACCTAGTATCTGCCACTAAGATTTTCTTTAACTCCTGTTTTTAAAAAATACTTTACAAAAAAAGCTCTTACAGGTAATCTAGCTTTTATGTTGACCTCACAAGTGTAGAGTTCAGGAGTATCTCACTTGCATTTTGATCATGTACATGTTTAAAACTCTGTGATTTGCTTTTGAGCAAATAGGAATAGTTCCAACTAAGTGTGCACAATATTGCAGCCTTGAAGTAGTAAATCAAATCACATCAAAAGTGAACAGCTTGCGGGACAAGAGGGAACATATTTTTAAAAGCCACTTCTTTCACTAATAAGAGCCAAGCAAAAGCTAGGCTTTAATTCATCAGTCAGCCAACCTATATTTTGACTTCATTAGAGTTCCTTAGAACAAGGAAGTTTTCCCCTTCAAAGGGACAGCAACCTTAGTAACAACCTTCAGATTTGATTCACTGTTTGTTTTCTGAAATCTCCCTGCACTTTAAAGTCTGGTTTTAAGTATCAGGTTTGCACTTGCAGTAATACAGGACAGAGAATACAGAAAGGATACTCCTAAGAGCTTAGATGCGAGTGTGGGTTTAAACTCCTTTGAGACAAGCCTGAAAGGGAATCTCTCAATGAAAAGCAAAAAACCAAAGACCTGCCTTGCAGCTGTCATACTGAATATATACATCTGCTGCCTACGTCCAAGGATGTAGGAGCACCATCATCTTGGCTGTGACCACACATCCTAGCACTAGTGTTGTAGCAGAGAAGAGGGTGTTGCAGTGGGACCCAGCAAGCCTTAGTAGCTAGTTCTTTAAGGAATCCCATGCCACCTAAGCCACTTTGGGGTTTTATACAGAAAGGCAAGTTAAATATTTAACATAAAAAGAAACATCACTGCTTGGAGTTGGAGTGGATTGGAATTCCTTCATGACATGCATTCATATAAGCACCACAGGCTGATTTAAGTGGGAGGAAAGCACTGGACCATTCTGATAAGAGAAACTGCTGGGTTAGCTGTTGGTCAGTGCCTTATTTGGTGTGCTTACAGCCAATGTGGTGCCATCCAGAAGTTGCTCAGTTATGACTCACCATTCTTGACACTGGCCATGCTAGCTGGGCCTGATGGGAGTTGGAACCCATCTGGAGAGTGCCACGATGGCCACCCCTGGCTTACAGCAAGATCACTAGAGGAAGAAAAACGTTGACAGGCAACCTTCTTTTTTTTGTATCCAGTACAGGACCAAACAACTTGAAGATGGGAGGCATACCAGTGAGCGACAATCTGATTTCTTCCCAGACCAGTGAATAAATTACCTTGTTTGAAAGAGAAGAGATTTCCTAGCAAGTGTGGAAAACAAGATTCCAAACCGGAGAGGAAGGCTGGCATAAAAGAACGTTACTAACTCGTATAACTCACTTGCACAATCTATACATCTGCTGTTTTAATCAATGCACAATAGTAATTAAAATATTTGCTTTTCCATTTCTAACAAGATTATAAAGTCAAGGCATTTTTAGTGATCTTTAGGCCAGTTCCCAGACTCAGCATTCTAGGAACATGGTGGCTCACTAGAACAAGCATCCACCTGCCACTGTGCACAGGACATAATGTGACAGATAATATGCACTTAACCTGATTTATGCAGTCCTTTTGCATTTTATTTGCACTTTTTATTAAGTGTATGTGCTGGCTTCTGTATTCCACTGCACTTATAGGATACCTAAAAGACTGATCTTGTAATTCAGGTGTTAGTTAGCTCATTGAACTGGTAATTCCTATTTAAAATTCCCAATGAAGTTTAAAGGCTGACTGAAATTCTGTTTTTATTAAAGTATAGGCCCCACTTAACTTACAACCTTGGACTGTTGTCATGGAATTGTCTTGCCATATATTACCACTGCACCCCCAAGAATGATAGCTCTTTTGTGTTTTAATTTCACACACACACACTCCGCAAACATGCAAGAAAAAGTTTCTGTATGAAAGAACCTCTTACACCATTTCTATAAACTATATACTTCCTGCAATTTAGTAATCAAATGTTATATGTGTTCTCTCATTTGCTCTGAATCATCCTTCATGGACTTTCTCCAAATTCCTCAGTATATTGCATAATTCATCTCGTCTTACTGACAAGAGAACTCTACAATTCCTATATTGCTACTGTGCCAATATAATTGATTTTCTCACCTTTGCGACATGCTTATGCTATACCTTTTTGCTTGTTTCATTGCTCCGAGACAAAAGTACAGCTACATGGTTTTAGTACTATTATTACATAACATACCCATTTATTTTAAAGAAGTCAATAAATGTATCATCTTGATTTGGGATTACTCAGAAATTTCGACATATTCATTTGCCTATGTATCTCCTGGCTACTGTGTAAAAACTGCACTGATTTAATAAACTGTGCCCAGTTTTGGGGCTTCAAGGTAAAGTTTTAAATTGCTTGTTATAATAGGAAAATGTAAACTTTGATTTGTGTGTTCTGGAAAATATGAATGTCTAAAAGCCCACTTCCTCCTGGTAATTTATATTCTGCTGCAATTGGAACTGAGATGGGGTAGAGGTCAGGATCGATCACTGTTCCCTGGAGCATTTGGTCTCCTGCTTAGAGCCTACAGCAACTATAATGCCATGATTATATAATGGGAAGGAAATTTGGAAGAAACTACAGAGCTTTTGAAAACAACTGAGCCATATGCCTCTGGCAGAATGCTATCAGCTAATTAGGTCATTTCTAGGAAAGTCAGATTTGTTCCCAAGTTTCTGAAATCTTATCAAAAAGATTGATTTCACAAGCGATATTATGGGACATATCCCAAACAGTCTACTCATCCCAAGTGGCACTGTTGATGAGCATTTCCCCCCAGAAAAGTTAACTGAGAAAGTTTGTATTTTATTGATGAAATACTAATTCTGTGTATTGATCTTCATAGTGTTTTGACTGGCATTGCAAGTAACAAGCCAACCACTAGAAAAGGCAAACCAGTATGCTGCCCATGGATTAATTTTATGTAGATGGTTGGTGGCCTTCCTTTGAGTAAATTCACTGGAGCAAAGGAACTCCAACTTGCCATTTGGACTACAGTGGTACCTCGGGTTAAGAACTTAATTCGTTCTGGAGGTCCATTTTTAACCTGAAACTGTTCTTAACCTGAGATACCACTTTAGCTAATGGGGCCTCCCACTGCTACCACGCCACCACCACGCGATTTCTGTTCTCATCCTGAAGCAAAGTTCTTAACCCGAGGTACGATTTCTGGGTTAGCGGAGTCTGTAACCTGAAGCGTCTGTAACCTGAAGCATATGTAACCCGAGGTACCACTGTACACATTGTCACTCATAATTCCTTGGCTGATCACAGATGACCTGATGATCACAACACCAGGCCCCACAAACACAGCAATCACCCTACCAAAGAATTCAACACATTTGCAATGCTGTCAGGCCTCCACTGGGAGCTGGAGGGTCACAGATTCCCTACCTGGGCTCTTGTTTCATCCTCATTATGTACTCTCTTGCTGTAATGCTGGAAGATTTCTGTGGTATTTCCCTTTCATATTTTGCTATAAAAGACAAGAATCACAAAAATGAAACTCTGCAGCACCAAATTCAGATACTATGGGGTACAAATAACCAGAAACCTTAACAAACTATACCTCCACAACTACAACATCATGTGGTGAGAAAATAACAAAGACCTGAGGAAATGGAACAACACCAACTTCACCCTCTCAGACAAAATAGCCATGATCTCACACACACACACACACACACACACACACACACACACCAAAAATTAACCTACATATTCCAAGCCCTGCCAATTTGGATTCCCTCAACCCAACTCTATAAATGACAGAAAAAACTACACTTGTTTATTTTCTCACACAAAAAGCCAGAATAAGCCCCAAATACCTGCACCTCCCCTCCTCAGGAAGGGGAATCCCCAATATAGAACTATACTACATTGTCAGCCAAGTGCACCCCATACCGTAATCCATTACATATTAGAAGACGATTGAAAACACCTCGGCCACAGCTTACTCATTCCTTCAAAACAAAGGAAAATCCCCACAACACTAAACAGGTTCACACAGTCCATGCTCATAGCATGGAATGAAAAAGTAGGAAAACTATCCCCACTAACCCCCCTAGCATTACACAGCCCAAAACGTCTAAATAAAAACTTGGCAAGCCAAAGGCTTACACCGCCTAACAAACATCTACAAAAATAACAAACCCATACTGAAACAATGTAAGACAAACTAGGGGACACCCAAATACCCTGGCTAACATGCTACCAGCTGCACACCTTCTTAAACAACCCAGCAGTAAAAGCAGCAGCCACTAGGCCTTTGACCATCTTCGAAAACCTTCTCCTGACAGGAGAGGGACATGGCAAGGGGAAGGTATCCGCAATATGCAAAATATTACTCCAGAATCCCACAACCCCCCTCACCTCAATCAAAAAACAATGGGACCACGACATAGGTTATGAAATGTACCCTACCCAATGGACTACACTGTGGTCTAAACCTCCCTTTAAATTCATCACAGCCAAAAGAAGGGAACTTGAAACTTATCTATAGATGGTACCTAACACCACGGAAGCTGGAGATGATACACCCAGGAACCTCCCCAAAATGCTGGAGAGGTTGCATCTCTACATACCTCCACGTGTAGTGGGATTGCCCCAAGATCCAACCCTTTTGGACATCAGCCCTACCTGAAATATGCAAAATAACTAAACAGGTATTAGAAGCCACCCCAGAACTAGCCATATTGAATATTTTCCAAGACAATAATACATACTCACACTAGGAAGAGCTCATAAGCCACCAGCAGCCAGGAGCATCATATAGACACTGAAGGGACCCATCAGGAGTGAATATGCACTATTGATACCAAACTGTATGGGAAACAGCCCTACTAGATAGAAAATCTAACCCACAAACTGAAAGTAGCACAGGGACAAATAAAAGAAGACACCTTCACCCTGGTGTGGCTCCCCTTTATTACACACACAGCCTAACAAGAAACCACTGTCAGCATACAAATTGGTAGGGCTATCTTGACCCAACAACCCCTCCGCCTCACACATGCAAACAAAACTCACTGCAGTCAACTTAAGGCAACCCTTGGCCTCCAATCCCTCTCACTGCCAATGAAAACTAATAAATGAATAGAAATAGAACCTACCCACGCAACGCTGATACAAAAACCTTACACAGACACTATGTAAGATAATGAAAGTTTACTACCCCCTCTCTTCCCCACGCTGTCCCTCTCCACCTCTCTTCTCCCCCAACCTTATACCGACTACAACGTTAATGTCTCACATTGAATATAACTGATCTGTAGAAAGTATGATCTTAAAACAGAGATGATGTATGTACTTTTGTAAAAAAAAAATCCATTTTTTTAAAATAAAAACAATTTTAAAAACAATAATTCCTTGGCTGATCTGCTGGTGACTATTCTGAAATATATGTGTGTGCTGCTATATATGAGCCAGAGGAACTAAGCAAATCAAAATTATTTGTGCAGACATACCCAACTCTTCTAATGCTGGTCTTAAAAACAACAGTATAAAAACTCAACTATGAGTTATTAATAATAATGATGATGATGCTTATTTTTATACAGCATCCGTACACTTACTAGGAATCAATGATCCTGGAATATATTAAAGTATTTGTGTCCATTAAGTATCAATACAGAAAAGCAATTCTACAGCCTTTGCTGCTAACATCACATTTCTCATTTGCATGTGAATTATGATCTCATGCTCACCGTTCGTTACAGAAAATAACACAGAGACAGTTTTGACACCAAGGGTGAATCATTCTAACACTATGAAGTGGAGAATGAATAAGTTAATCCTTTTCCATCAATCAAATTTGGTAAGCCCTATTCATTGCTTAATTGTTTAATATACAAGCTTTTCAAGTGTCTGAACAAGCTAAAATATAATGTTATAGACTGTCTTAGTTGTCTCTTAGGGCAGACCCAGGTCACTGAGCCTGAGTTTCTACAGCTGCTGCCCGCCATGAACCACCATTAGCAGGATTGGCAGCAACAGCAGCAGATAGGTTCTATGCCACTATACAAATACACTTACAAATACACTTTATCCGAAAGGTTTCCACAATTTTGGCTACTAGTGTAGTTAGTAACTGTGCAGTGTGCCAGCACCCCTTCAACCTGGGAAATTGTGGTTGTTCTATCAGCCAGCCCCCTGTGTTGAGGAAAAGATGAACAAAAGTCTCTCCTCCAGACTTTTCTACTGATCACAGTGCCTTGAGCCCTGTGAGACCAGTTTCCTAGCTAGGTTTGGCCCAACAGTCAGTCTGGATGATTTTTTTCTTTCAAAAACCCATCCTAAATTATGTATCCATGACATTTAATAGACGTTTTATCACCAAACAGCAATGGCTTAATGCACGGAAAATGCTCAATTACAGAGACCATCCTGAGAAAACCTTTGAAGTTTTGTCAAATGTTTGGACTTCATTCAGTGAATGTATTGCTTTTTTTAATCTTGGGCTCACACTTCCTATGGGTGAAAATGACAGAGTAAAGTAGCACTGCCAGTGCAAACTCACAAGAAATAGCTAGCAAAAGTTTCAGTTAGATGCAGCTAAATGCCACTGAAATCAGTAGAACACAGTGCTGAATTAAATGTTTACAGGGACTACTTTTTGTAGGACTGTTGTGTTTCAAATGATAAAATGTAATCTCTTTTCCAGTTGAAACATTTTTATGCCTACTTAATTAGAGTGTAAACTTTGCCCGTGACCACAATATATGAAAATTAAAAATGAGATATGAAACTTAACACCAAGCCAGCAATTATTCACCAATTTGTTAGAATCACTAAAGTTGGGAAGTAAAAGACTCCTGGTGGTAGGCAAATTCAGGACTCCAAAAAATGAAATTGATATATCAATAAACTCTGCTTTATCGCCAGTCTCCTCATAAAACTTTATCTTTGTATAAGCTTAAGGCATCAAACTGCCCTTCCATCCTAATCAAAACTTGATAAATTCCATTTCTGTGACCCAGCTGACAACTTCCTAAAGAATTGTAACATGGGTTGTACCAGAGGCAAAGAGCTGGGGAATATACAGGCCCATAGAGTAGGCTCAGGAGGTGGTTCACACCTTCCGCCAAACACAGGAACAAGCGGCCTCTGCAAAAACGATACAAGTGTATGTGCACTTCTTCGTACAGCTCAAGTATTGTCTACACAGTTACAAACTACACACTCATTCAACGCTACATGTGAATAACTGCATGTACACTGGTCAGCTACTTGTGCACACAGGAACAAAAAATGTACACTTGTCGGATGTAACATCATCCTGACTTGTGGAGAGCAGTAAAAGTGGGGAGGGGAGATGAGCATGTGTACTCGTCCCTGCCCATTAT